ACATTGTCCACACGCCCTGCTGACCATGTGATGATGCGCGCACGATCAAGACAAGCAGCATGACTGAGTAGCCCATCACTGAGTACTATTAGTCCAGACAGTGAGAGCCGAACTCGAAATGTAGCACTTACAAAGTATCCAGTTAATGAAACCAACGGCCGCTATTCCACGCGAGTCACTACAAACAGCATTGACGAAGCTCAGCACAGCTTCATCAGCGTTGGGCGGAATTGGCACAGAGCACAATGGGCCGAGGCCAGACTTGCCGAAAGATTGCAGAACACTCAGTGTAAGACCGCCCGTTGAAAGCCATAACGTAGACAGTGCAAAACATAGAGTGATTTCCACTGTGGCAGCAACAACAGACCCCCACACCAGTCTGCGCAAGGTCAGCAGCTGCTTATGAGTAAGGCGTGGAGGAATACAACGCACGTGGGAACAGTGCTGACGATGGTGAGCACGCCAGCTGAGATTGCCAACCCAGCATGTGCCAAGGATCTATGAACAAGGCGCTCTGTCTCATCTGTGAGCGCAGCTCCAAGGCCCAGCGCAACGATTCCAAGAGCAGCGGCGGCACCTTGAGAACAAACCTGCATCAGCGTTGAATTGGGTGAGCAGGAGACGCACAGAGGACAACAAGCCGGGCTATCCGGAGCCAAGCCATGGAGAAAGAAGGGCGATAAGGACACGCAATCGTTGAGGCCTCTCTTATAGCCCACTCGGCCAGCTATCTTCTTGTGATCGTGTATCTATCACGACCACAGCCCGACATCAATTGTTGAGATCGTGGGCGGGGACCTACCACTAAGACAGTTGAAACCAGGATTTGTCTTGTGTGGAACTCCAATCACATAATTAGATCGGGAAGCGGGGACACAACAGTAAGACAATCTATATGCATTGATGATCAGTAGTTGCTCCACCAGTAGCAGTACATGAAGTCCGATTTAAGGAGAAGTTCGGCGACGTAGTGCGGCGCCGCGCTCGGGAGGCTGGGACTGCAGGCAGGAGAAAAATAGTTGCCAGTAATAGGCTGTGCGTGGCATCTGCGACCGCTTGTGAGCGATGGTGTAGCACAGCCCGGAGGGCGACCATAATAAACGCACCTTCTCGGACAATGCTCTGGTGGAGCTTCCCGGGGCCTCGCTAGCTGTTCCAATCCAGCCGTCAAAAACACCAGCCTGAGTGAGCAGCCGTGTGGGCAAAGGACGAAGCCGACCAGTTACCAGACCGTCTTGCAAGGTGACAAGCTGCTAAACCGCTGGATGCACGCAGCGTTGGATGTAGCGCAGCTGTGCGTAAGGGCGTGAGCGGCTCATCCGGCCCTGACTTCGGGAACTGGGAAAAGGCCTCACCCTGATCGAGCCCACCACACTGCCCGGAAGGAAGAGATTTGAATTCCTGTTGCCTCGGGACAGGAAAATACAGTGCTCACTGCTTGAAGCGTTGTCAAAGAGGACAATTGTCGACGCCAGCGTCCATCAGACTACACCGAGTGCGCATGAGCACAAGTCGAGAGATGTCAGTGGCGTAGACGTATCTTGTTTCGCGTTGCTCCCCTGCCCACTTTCCGCACTCCACCTTCTATTTCCACAGCATGCAGCGTGAGATCCCAGCGCTGGGGGAGAATGAGTAGATAATATGCAACTCTTTGTGAGCGACGCAGCCACAGAGACCACATACCATTCGCTACAGGAGCGCCAGCAGGGCAGCGGAGGTGACAGCGTGTCGATTCCCGAGTCGTCGCCAATTTTCCAGTCCCACTCATAGAATACACGTCGTACGCGCATCAGCTGTGGCACAATCGATTCGGGTGTTCTCCGCGTCGCTGCAGAACGACATGAAAGTGGAAGGCAAAAAAGAAGCGGGAGGCTGTGCAGCATCGTGATCCGAGGCTGTTGTCATGCGTATCACGTCAGCTTTCTCTTCTTGGCTTTCGCCACCATCTCCGTTTGCCTGCTCGAACTCCCTTGCATCCATGCGCTGGCGCAAGAGAGACTATTACTGTGCAAAATCTGGCTGATCATCGACCTACATCATCACCACTCTTGCGTTGTGCTGCGGAGGTTGGTCTAAGGACTAAGCGCCAGAACGACTAGCGACATCTAGGATAACTTCTGGGATGGTCTCGTTCTCCCATCTCGTTCCTGCAATGGCTTATCATCAGCAGCTCAAGCTGCGGCCGACTCACAACATGACACTGGATGGTCCGATGGGCTATCTGTCATGATCATGCAATGACGTGGCGCCACTCTTGTCTTCTCCCCTCATGTCGACGGGTTCGCAAACATTCCCACCGGAGCTGGAGCGCGAGATATTCGACACAGCGGCCATTCTCCATCAACCCACGATCCCAAAACTGCTCCGCGTTGCCCACAGAGTTTACACCTGGTGCGTTGTTTCTGCGGCACCACGTTGAGTCTTATGTTCCGTAAACCCAGGCTAGTGCCGGTATTGTACCGTCAGATGAACCTTCAATATGACCGACAGCTTCAAGGGTTCCTTGGCGTCGCTCAAACGTGTCCGGCCCTGTTGCAGCATGTTCGCGAGATTGTGCTGCCGACTGGATACCCACCCGAAACCACAGCAAAGGTCTTTGACGGTCTCCGTTTCTGCCACAAACTGGGGGGACTGGCAATGCTCCACAGTCACCTGATCCGCGAGGTTGTGGCAAACGGGCTTGCTCTCCCTCCCCGCTTGAGCACCCACCTTGAAGACCTCTTCCAACAGGACACTGCGGAGCATGGTGCGCCGCCCCAAATTCAAGTTGGAACACACCATCTAGAGACGCTGCTCGCCTTCCGCTTTGTCACCCACCTCGATTGGTTCGATGACCTGACAGCGTATAAGAGCGACGACGATGAAGAACACGCACGGCAATTCATCATCCAGTTGCCTGCCCTGACACACCTCGCCGTCGTGCCGTTCTCTGCGGAGAACTACGTGGACGACCTCGCAGCACGCCTCCCGCGGCTGCACGTGCTCGTCATTGTCTGGAGTCTCTCTGGGTACTTGCGCAGGCGATCCAACGACCCGGTGTTCCGTATTGCGTTCCGCGACAGCCGTGTCGTATGCTCCGTGTATGACAAGTGGTATGAGGGCATGACCAACGGGTATCTGCCCACTTTCTGGGATCTGGCGGAGGAGCTGGTGGAAGGGAAGGCAAATGGCACGGTGTCTGGTGCGTCTTTATATCTTGCCATCGAAGGTCACTCTGGCACGCTTCAAGTTAACATTGTTCTCAGAAACTGAATTTTGGGCTCGGCCTCGGGAAGGTCATATTGGATAGTAAATATTGTAGGGCTTTCGTATCCTTAATTTCCACTATTTCAATACTGAATGAACAATATTAAACCAAGTCTCATCGTTGGATTTCAGTGCTAGTACGAGATTATCAGCACTGAAACCGTATTCTTAACAGGCTGGCGCGTTAAGAATACGGTCTCTTTCGAGAATGATGACTGCTATAAACAAGATCTCGACGATGCGCGCTGTGTATTTTGGATACGGCACGAACAAAATATAGATTCAATCATGAACCATATGACAGGCCCAACTATACAGCTTTGAAGCTCCAAATTTGCTCTTGTCGCCCAGTATAAGTCTCGAAGGTGACCTAAAACTGAGTTAGTCTGGGAAATGACCCTTCATTGGAGAGAATCTCGCCGGAGAGATCGTGCTTCCTTCCTGCACTGCCCAGGCAGTAAGCGCGGTTCCTTGACTTGCGATCTTAATGCTGAGACATCATCAGATAGCGAACACATGGAGAGGAGTTTGACATACGCGCCAGCGGTCGTATTCACGCAGTCCAGCTCGAAGGCGCTGGAGAATGTCCCCGCAGTGGGCTGGTAAAACTGGGCGGATGCGTTGGTGGAGGCGCCGCCGTAGGTGAGATAGACGGTGTCCTTCGACGACGCCGCAGGCTGGATGAAGAGAACGGAGGTTGGCGAAATGGGGATAGGGTCCCACTAGTACCGAAATATCAGCGGACATTGAGGAAGGGCCCTCGGAGAAACCGCACTTGTTGGTTCAATGTCGGCGGGGAGTTGATAGTCTGCGCAATGACGAGGTTGACGCCGAAGGCCCGGTCCAAGACATAGCCCTGGAAGTTCATGATGTAAAGCACAGCAGCGGTGTAGCAGATCGGCGCCATTTCGCGGAGAGCGAGGGTTGTGGAGAACTCAGGAGGGGCTTTGTGCGACGTCGACAAAGCCCTGTGCGACGAAGCCTTTTGAGGTGGCAGGCGAACAAAGAAGCATCAGGTCGAGGCACGGACCTGAGTTGATGTTGAAGCCTCGCGCAATAGAGAACGAAGACAGGCAATACGTGGATGCCCTGGTGATATGCCCTGGAACAGAGTTAGGGCTCCGATACCAGCGGACGTTTGTAGCATGGTTCAGCAGCACACACCTAACACACCTAAAGACAAACGACGATGGGCAAGAGGCCATTGGTGCTGATCGATACAGATCCATAGAGAGTGGACTTTGCTCGAGGAGCGCCTTCGCGCCGCGCGACTGGCCATCCGCCCGTCAAGCGCTGACCCGTCGATTCGGAGGGGTATTAATCAATGGGTTAATTGAAATCGCCGACCCCGGCCCTTGACGCTAAAATTACTGATTAGATATACGCTAATCCCGCAAAGCTGTTATACTTCGAGTGAAGAGCTCGGCTTCGGGAGCAGCGAGCGGTGTGAATTCAATCGGTTATTTATAACCTCGGTCAAGTACCACTTACATATCATCATTAGTCTGGTCCGTTCCCGATCTAAAAGCAATGCGCGGGTTACCAACGCGGCGGAGGTTGCGAGCCTAGGTTCCACAGCATTGCCAATCGAGGCAGCGAAGCTGTACAAGATGACGCGTCGGTGGAGCAGGGCACTAACGTGTCATTCTTATAAGCGCTAAGCATTCAACAGGGAGCGAAGCACTCACGATGTATCTCAAACTCGACCTGCTGACGACCGTGCGCAAGCTGCGCCGCGCGACGATTGATTCTGTTCAAGTCCGGCCTGGCGAAAGCTCGGGTGGAGAGAGTTCATCATCTGGGGAGAGTTCGTCAGGCGAGAGCTCGGCTGGAGAAGGCTCTTCGTCTTCCGGGGAGAGCTCGTCGTCCGGAAAGGATTCATCCAGCGGAGGCAAAAGTGGATCGAGGGGCTCGAGTGGCTCCTCTGGTAGCGCCGACATCCCTTCAGGAAATACAACCTCGATTGGCAGCTCAGCATCGACATCGAGCTCTGGGGGTGGAAAGCAAGTTGTCATACCTTCTGGGCAACTATTCGCAGGCAGAAGCGCCGGCGGAGGGACACGAGCGGAGGTATTCGGCACGAAGTGAGCATCTTGGAGCGGATGTTGGTACCGAAGCTTGATGAATCGTAGGGAATATGGAAGCGGGTATCCGGGAATCGCTTCCCGGGGAGTCGAGGGGCGGGGGTTCCCATTCTTCTTCTGGCCGCTTTCGTGGGGAACGGGAGGCGGCTATGGCGCCGATGCAGCCTACATGCATACTAACGAGGTCAGCTGTCTTGCTTTCAGAAGCGACCAATGCTCACCGCTGACCATCCAAGTACGGCGACCCGACCAACTCCTCTCGCCCTGGCGGCCCAATTGGATATCACGCCTTCCAGTCGACCACCGCCAACGCGACAGCCTTCCACCTCATCGCAGATGGCGCTACCGTCAGCGCCCTCACGCCCAGCATCGCTGCCCAATGCTCCGTCAACCTGCATACCACCAGCACCACCGAGCCGCCCACCCCCTTCAACGCATCGGCGCTCTTCCCGGAGCAGGTCGTCCAGTACTATCGCGCCTCCTCTGTTGCCCTAACGCTTGACGGGTACAACAACTCGGCAGTGTTCGCCGCGGAGAACACCACGGCAGACACGTCTCTTCCAGGCGGGACAGATATGGCGCTGCTGGACTGCTTGAATGCGACGATTGGGAAGGGGGTGCCGTTGGTGAATGGTGGAGTGAATATCGGTCCGGAAGCTACACTGGTCCTGTCATGGCTGTGGCTGGTCGCAATTGTGGCAAGAGCAATCGGAGTTGTATGAAACTTCTAGCATTAGATCAGCAAACTGTGAAAATCCAGCGCGCGAGACCTCTGAGACGCCTGACTTGAGGAAGCCATAGAAACTGGTGCACTGGAACGGAATCCCCCAGTGCAGATTAATATTCGTCGCTGGGGAACTTGAATGCACCGGTACCTTGGAAACAAAACTTCGTCAGCCGCCGACATGGTGGTCAAGAAAGAACCTAGCACGAAAAAAATTGACAGCTGTCATGAGTGTGATTGATCTAGCCAACAGCGATGCGCGTTCGACTCTCGAGCCTGTCCATATAAACAATCGTTTTCACCTCCTCATAAGATAATTTTCGGTAGCAAGCTATAGTACTAGGTCTGATGGTACTGTATATCTAAGTAACCCATTGTAGCGCAACCTGAAAATATCCGAGTGACTGAGTCTTGATTTGCAAAAGATAACAACGTCTTACATGATTACAAAATCTATCTCAAGAAATACAAGACTAACAAAAAGCAAACACCCTCTTCGCAATATCCTACAGCTCGTCCAACCACTCATATCCCTCGCCATGCACGAAGCCATCCGGGCCCGGCACTCCAACGACCCACAGCGGATCGTGCTCAGTCCCTTCCAGCGCGCTATATCCAATCGCAGGCGGCAGCGGCTGCTGCGAAATGCGGAGCGTCAGCTCAGTACAGTCCGCGAGCTCCTGCCGAATATCCAGCTGGGGCGCCCTGACAAGGTAGCAGTTGAACTCCGCCAGCCGCGTCACAGCCGACTCAGCAAGAAGATCGAGCGTGCGTGCGCGGAGGAGGCGCACGATCAGCGCGTCGGGCACGTGCAGCACGCGCGTGAGCTCAAGGTGGCGGAGGGCCGGGCAGAGCGGGGCGGCGTCCGGCTCCGGGCCGGGAACGAGCCGGGCAAGGAAGGCGGGGTCGGGTTGCGCGAAGACGAAGCCGAACGCCGGGTCCGCGGTGAGCGTCGACTCGCCAATGAGGCGGAGGCGCTCAAGCGCAGGAACCAGGCGGAGGGCGGCAACCAGCTCGTCGGTGGAGAGGAAATCAAGCGTGAGCACGAGACAACGGAGGTGGTCCATGTGATGCAAAAAGCCCGCCCCGCCATGGGCGATCTTCAGCGTGTGCAGGACCGGGGCGTGGAGATGCGTGATGGCGTCGGTGATGGTCGGGGCATCGAACATGCCGAGATCCAGCATGGTCAATTTCGAGAGGACAACGCTGTTGAGAGGGGCCGGCTGGAGCGGGTATCCTCTGACGCCTACGGTCAGCTTCTCTAACGCCGTACACTGCTGGAGCCATGGGAATGGGAACTCGATTGTTTCAACTTCGTCCCCGGAAGGTGAGACGTAGCTGGCCTGGATGTTGATAGACACAAGGTTGTGCCACTGGACGTTGGTGGGAAATGCCGGGAAGTTTCCTTGAATGACGAGGCGTCGCAAGCTGGCCGTCTCGAGGAGCGGGAGCGATACTCCGCGACCAAAGTTGATCAACTGGAGTGTATGAAGCTGAGGTACATCGATCGCCTGCAATCCCGCCAGAGCGCCTTCATCGGATGTGTCCCGTATCCACAAGCGCATGTTGTGCCAGCGGGACGCCACGGCAACAAGCGCGGCAAGGAATGGCGATGACTCGCGGGTCACCCGAGCGCCATCATCCGAATCTGGGACGTCAACAGCACTGTCATCTATTACCTCCACCACAGGCCACCCGTCCGAGGTTTGACGTCCCAGCTGCAGCGTGATCTCCAGCGGCGCTTTCACTCCTCGGTCAAGCCATCTCGTAAGGCTGGTAAGTGCCTGGGCCTGGGCCCAACTAGGACTGCTTTGCGCCTCCGGCCCCCAGGACGGACTCGAATCCGGCTGCGGCACAACAATGTGGATGGACGACCACAGCTGTGGTGTCGCTAGAGCCAGGTCGCGCCAGTATCTACACACCCGCGCCAGCAGCAGCGGGCCTTCGCTCGGATGCATCGATGCACTCCTGCTTCCCGGGAGCGTCTGCACGAAAATGAGCCGCAAGATGTCTTCCGGCATGCGCCGCAGCGGGGACAACAGTGCCTTGTGGGCCGCAACGAAGCCGCCCAGTCGATCGCGTTTATCGATGGCATCGTCAAGCAGGAGTTGCAGGCGTGCGACATTGGCATCGAGCTCGAGGAGTGTGGCGTCGTGTGGCTCAACAAAGCTGCGGATTGAATCGCATTCGGCATCGGTGGGAACGGCGTTGGTATTGAGAATGTGGTGAAAGGGGGAATTAACAGTGTCCATATCACCCATTAGAGCAACTGTAAGCGTGGAAGAGGCCCTTGGAGAGGAATCGAGATGGTGGACAAGAGCAAGATTGATGTCAGCCGTGTCCCCACGTGCACAATGACGTACTGTAGATGCTTCGCATGATCTCTTCAGCTTTCTTCCAGATCTCTCGGACTGACATTCGAACGCGCTGGAACTTCATGGAATGGAGGACAACCCACTGACAAACAGTATAAAAGCTGCACTTCATCCTCACTCATCCCGCAGCAACATCCTGAGCTCACCCCTCCAGCGCGACCCTCCCTCCTACCCTCTTCACCTAATAGCATCCACCAGCGACGACCGCGCTGACGACGAGCACCGGCCTCGCGCCAACGAATACCGCCCACTTCTCTGCTCGCTGTCGATATCGTTTGCGGCGCAGAACAAACTGACATCGAGCGCCACACCGTAAAGGCGTCTCCGCTTGTTTGGACATCCCGATATCGCGCCAGACGACGGGCAATCAAGCCGCCATGGGCTAAAACTAGTCCGCCGCCTCCGCCCCGACTCCATAAACATGTCGTCCGGCGGCTATAGATCCTCCCAGTCGCGTAGAAGAGCCGGCCGTCGAGCGTGATGTGGGGTTGGCCAGCAAGCGGAGACCATTCCGGTGCTAGCATTGAGCGCCACTGACTCGCCCGCCATGAACGAGATAAAACAGCGAGGGAGCAAGTGACGGGTGAGCTCACGTTAAATGTGTGTCGAATGTGAAGGTAGTCCGAGTCGTCGCATGGGAAGTCGTTAGGGCGAGTCACGAAGGGAGGGTCTCGCTGGGGAGTGTGGGCCGTTGTAGTCTTGCAAAGGCAGTACGGGCACGGACCTTTGGGTAAATGAGTAAATGTATCAAATACGACCGTCTTCAAGTAGTATGCCTCGTTCTCGATTGAAGCATATCATGGTAGTGGTCGTTCGTCTGGGGCATTAAGAGAAGGGAAGCGCAGAACGGATGGCGATCGAGCTAGTATGAGCGGCTTCACATTCAATAACTGTAGAAGCGGGAAGCGGGAAAGCCAGTCACGCACCTGATTGGCCCGAATACCGTTCTCTGCCCTTCCATCCGCGGCCCCTCAAAGTGAACCCAATGTTCAACGTCACTCAGCGTGAAGAATAGCACCCCCTGCAGCCTGGGTCTTGCGACTTGCTTAGCTGCGATTTAGTTAGCGCAGTATAAGCTAGGCACTGGAGTAACACGCAACATTATTACTGCGCCGCTTGAGCGCAATCAAGCCGGCCTTAGAGCATGGGACGTCTCTGCCTCCTCCGAGTCGCGGTTCGCAGGTGCCTGTGCGGGCGAGGACGCGAGTCCGCCATGGAGGGAAAAGACAAGGCGCGGATGGCGTAAGCGGATGACGCGAGCGCCACGTGGACACGGCGCCAAGCCAAACAACCCCTCCGCGCACGAATGTCGCTGGCGCTCGCTCGCTGTCGACCACGGTCCCAAGGGCATGTCACGCAAGAGACTTCTATTTTTCTAACTTCTAGGATACACAAATACACGAAACAGAGTAATACACCGATTTCTCACCTACAGTTCTGCTCAAATCCTCCCGTTATATGCTCTGGTCAGCTCCCTCCTCGGGGGACTCGGCGCCGCCTTCGCAAGACCGCGTTTCATCACATCCTCAGGCGATATTACGAACTCGCGCTCCTCCGGAAGCGCGGGCAGCGGTTTCGCGCGTCCATATGTGGCGGCGAGGCCGGGCCGGGGCGGCGGCATGTATGTCGTCCGGAGCGGCTGACCGGGCGATGCCGGGCCATCATAATATGTGTCCCGCCCCGAAAGGTCGATCTCGTCCCAGTAATTTGACGGCGCACCAGACTCTGCGTCGCCGTCAAGGGTGAGCACACGGATGGGCTTCGAGCGAATATCCTGGACCGGCTGCAACCAGCTCGCGGGCTGGGCAGCAGGCTGTGGAAGACGCGGCTCGGGCGTGTGGAAGCGGAGGCTGGCGAAGTCCAGGCGTAGGACATGCCTGACGACGAACACATACTTCACGCGCATTGCCGCGCTGAGCCCGAGGATAAGAAATGCCATAATCGCGGCAACCGGCCCGCCCGCCCCGGCCCATCGGGCAAGCTCAATAGCATGGACTAGAGTTGTGTTTCCGGTCCAGTCTTCGGCTGACAACAGTGCGATTCCCGGAACAGGCGTATGGGTCAACGATCTGGCAGCCAACGAAGGAGTGGTGATGGCGCTCAGAACCACGGAGGCGAAGGAGAACGGGAGGATCACAATGGGGAGGAGAATCATGCGTGGGAGAACGGAGCGGTCGGTGGGAGAGACAATCGCCTTGCGGAGGTCATGGCGCCGAACGAACCCGATGATGACGGCCGCGATTGCAAAGGCCCAGGTTACCACATCCAAGGCAGCGACCACTCCAAAGGCAATGATGTAGGTCTCTGTGGAGCTGCTCGGTGAGCTGACGCAGCCAACGCCCTCGAGAATCGTGAAGCGGCGACCAGTAGGGATGCTCGTCGCGAGCTGCAGCAGGATGAATGGCGCGATCGGGACAACGCAAATGAGCGCATCGATAATCCGCCCACGGCGAATTTGACTGGCCGTCTCGGCGCCGAGGAAACCGCCGTTCCCCTTCCAGATACCAAGCAGCATGGATGTGTAAATGCGGTTGGTGACGGCGAGCAGGGCACAAGGCACACCGATGGTCGTGGCCATGCGAATCCGTATCACTACAATGTATTAGTATTGCCACAACCGCGAAGATAGCACGCACGAATGTCGCAGAAGCTCGCGCGGGACGGACTGGGAGGCGCCATACCACCGGTTGTCGTGGCCAGCAGCTCGGTCAGACACGACATCGAAATGTAGCAGAGTAAGAAGCGAGCGGGGAGGAGGAAACGGCGAGTGGGCATGTCGAGCGCGAAAACGCAAACGAGAGTAAGGAGGAGGCCGATGACAGCGAAGGCGCAGAAGACGGCAAGGGCGATAGTGGTGGGGGCGGAAGACATAGTTGTTTATCTTGAGGAGACTGAAGGATGGTGGGTGGCACGAGACCACGAGAAGGCAAACCGGGCCTTGGATTCGAGAGAGTGGCACTGGGTGGTGGGGCTGTAATGAGCAAGGACAGTGGTAATGGTGTGCGTCGTGCGAGGGTCACGGTGGGTTTATAAATGCTTGGGACAAGTCAAAGCGCGGACTTGCATTGTCTGTTGATGCATCAAAGCAACTAACTGCGTCACACGTGCCATTCTGCCATGAATAGCAGTGCTGTAGCAGTCGCTTGCGAAATATCGGGACGAGGAGAAGCCCACTAGTAAGTACTCCATCAGTTTGAGCGAAGGGTCGACCAGTATGCAAATGCTGACGGACCTACAGTGCATGGAACCGGACTGATACGCGTGAATACGTCATACTGTCGACCAGACAACCCTGTTGAAAGGCAGCAAGATTTTGTCACCAGCCAGCTCCGTGAACGTCACCAGTCTGGGATACTTAGTAGATGGTAACGCAGGCGCGTCAAGGTTGTCTGTGCGTTGCGTAAAGCCAAACTGTGGAAAGAAAAGCAGCGTTCCCCGATACAGCTGCGAGAAACGGATATGCGAGCGCATTGAAGGAGCTAATGCACAATTGCGCTGGCGTTGCCTGCGAGACAATGTCCTGCTGCGAAGAATATCAGCGACAGGGTGAGCAAAACATAGCACTAGAATACCACACCTCAAGCTCGAGATAAATCAGTCGATCGATCCGAAATGCGAGTATATACGCCTTTCCCACTCGATGCCTTCAAATTGGCAACCGATTCATGCCTGCATGCCCCTGGTCCCCCAGTTTATCGTCTGAGCAGCCGGTTTGAGCAGTTGCCTGCGACACAACCTGCGCTGCAGCTGTAAATGCATTTCAAAGACGAGAACCCAATCGAGCCCCCAACCTCCAAGCAGAGCCCGACATTAACATACTCAGGTCCAGTCCAGCAATGATTTCGCAGGGAATGCATTGGGAATGCATGTCAAGATAACGTTTGTGATGCTGGAAAGTCGTATGAGCGCTATGATTACATTGCCCAATAAGAAGGAAAGAACCGACCCCGGTAACCACCTGAAACTCTTGCGTGAACGCACGTTCCTCGGTTTATAGCATGCATACCCCCCAAGCTCCTCTCAACCCTTCCAGTGCATAGCACTCAGTGTATCTCCATCCCCCCAAAATGTGTGGAAACTCTCGTCGACCTCTCCATCGTCCGCCAGCGTCGCTCCTGGCCGACAAGCACGTCCAAACGAAATGCTGGTCAACGAGGGCCTTCCAGGCCCAATACGCGGGAAGCAGCAATTGATTAGGTTGGCAGGCCATGTCCATGAGCACTAGATAGGGTTTGTAGAGCGCCAGGCGGTGTGGATGGAAAGATACAATGTCGTCTTTTGCGAAGAAGCTTGTGACCATCACGTGCGGATGTGACACTTGGAAGAAAGTCGATAGGATCGTATATAGCAGTCGAGTTTCGCATGGGCAAAGCCCTGGAAGTGAAACGCGGGTGTCTTAGGGGTACCTTTCGGCGGCTGCTATCATGCACTTGAGGTCCGCAAGCGGGCAAGATGGGAGTCTGTCGATGTGGTGCCCTTCCGCACTTGTGCGAGCGGGATTCTACTGCGAGAAGTAGCGGGGCGAGCTCAGCCTCAGCAGCGGCTGGAGCTAAACCATATTGAGGAGGTGGTGAGTATTTTCGTGGCATGTATGGTGGTCTTGGACGCATATGCACCAAACACATGGATATTCCATTGAGACGGCATGGCAGAGAGCGATGATATAACGGGCAGTTTTGAAGACGGTGACATTGCAGGAGTAGATAGCAGTATACAAAGCAAGTAAATGCCGACAGAGTAAAAGGGTCTACGGAAGGTATCAGCATGCACAAAAACGAGCGAAGCCACTCACAACCCGCCATGCCTGTTCGGGCCACAATGTATCCTTCTGTCTCTTTTATAAGCCTCTATCTGTTCAATGGGTTCCCTCGGTCGTCCAGCACGACTCGATCTCCAAGATTTGCGTGCGTGTCAGCGTGCAAGCCATAACGAAGCCAGAATAGTCGATAGTGCATCCAGAGCTGTGGCAGATGCGCGTGCGCGAAAAGCTGCTAGACATGGACAGAAACGAGATAGGTAGGGGAGCATCGCGAGATGGGAGGATAGAGAGGATCGTGGATGGTGCAGAGCCTCGTATTATCGTTGGCGGGTGCAAGCAGCGAGGTCCGTACTCTAGAATGGGCAACACAGTCGTCTGCCGTATCGTCAAAGCCTATTGTTTTTTGACCATTAGTCGCTAAAATCTGGACCCAGAAACTTCTGCTTACATTTTACCGTCTCCCCGATTCCGCCGGCGGATTTTCTTTAGAAGGACTCCACGATGCAGCTGGGCTTGCGCGAAGTTCATCGGGAGTATATGATTGAGAGAAAGAGCAAGCCTGCGTAAACCGCAAAGTTCGAAAATTTTCGTTGGTGGTCGAATCCCCCCTCGAATTCCACCCTTCCCCCAGTGCCCCAAACCATCATGAAAACCCTCCTTAGTGAGGCATTAGATTCATCCCTCGCACGAAAAACACTCCATAACTCCCGAATATCTCCCCAACGCCAGCCGCGGCCCATTCTGGCAGGGAAAGCAGTGAAAACAAAATCGCGATTGACGAAGCCGTTGTCGACGGAATCGAGGGACAGGAAGCTTTGAATACTTGGCTGAGTCTATTCCAAAGAGCGAGATACACTCGATAGAGACCGCCGTTCGCCCTTTCGAAAGATATGTGGCGACTTTTGACGGAGAAAGGCGATGGAGAAGAGGTGTGGATGGGGGAGCAGAATGGCGATGGATGCGTCGGGAGGGTGTTGATGCGGAATGGGGGAAAGTGTTTTTCATGCCCAGGAGATGATATCGAGACTAAATCTCGTGCTTGCGCCTTGAGCAAGCGACAATCCACCGATTTGTGCCAGACAAGGGCAGCATTCACAACTCGTGAGGAGTCTGACAAGACAAATGCTCTTCTACAAGCGTAATGTCGGGAATGAGTTCCGGGATGAATCCTGAGAAAAGAATAACATAACTCACCAAGTACTGCGTCTGTCCAGGGCCCAAAAACCGAAGCCCATTTGCGTGAACGCACCAACCCCTCCAAACACCCAGCAAAACCTTCTACAATCCATCATTCGATGCCCCCAGTTGACCTGAAGCAGGTTAAATTCCGCGTATATCTCTCCCTCGACTTCGAGAACCTATTCTGTCCATCGAGCACATCCAGACGAAAAGCGAGCCAACGAAGGCTTTACCGGCCCAATTCACGGGCAGCAGCAATTGATTATGACGAGGAGATATATTTCCAAGCGCGAGATCTGGTTCATAAGCCGCCAGCCGGTGTGGATGAAGAGACACAACATCGTCTTTTTCGAAAGACAGTGTGACGATCACGTGCTTCTGTGACACCGCGAAGAAGACGTGGATATCGTGGTGGAATCGTATGCTGCAAGTCGATTCTGAAGAGGAAGTCCGGCAGCGTGTGTTGGGGGGATTATGGGAGTGTATTTCAGGAGCCGTTCACGAGTTATCATGAACAGTAGGTTCCCGGGCAAGTGGTTTTCTGCAATCGGGCCAACGCAGCAACGCTGGCGTTTCACGGGTTGTGAGCGAGAGACAGCAGGCGAAGCACAAGCTATGAAGGAGGAGATAGGCACACGCCAAAACGTTTGCAGGTTATCTTGTATCCTTGTGAGGAAGCCACGGGAAAACTGGAACGAGGTGATTGAGATGATTGTGGTGGTCTCTTTCTGCACGTTCGCAGACAAGAGCTATTGTGCTGGCGTTTCGCGGGCTGCTAGCGAAAGTAACGACCACCTCTCCATTCAAGTCCATTGGGAGTAGCGGAGACGCATGCTATTGAGCAAGAGCTTGGTATGCGTGAAAATGTTCGCGGTGTATTGTCGTAGTAATCATCGAAAGGCAGCAGCTCGAAGCAGAGAAGGTGAAAGTGGCGATGGGGGAGCGTGGCGATGGGGGAACGTGCAAGACAGAAACGTTGTGTTTTTTCGCGGAAGCCTTCGGGATGGTGTGTTCCCGAAGGGTATAGCATGCCGTACAACGGAAGCGGGCAAGGAAGGAACAGCGCAGGCGAGCACGAGTAAAACGGCGCTTTGGGGCATGTCCACACAAGGTAGCGTGGTCTGCGAAAGCATGTAAGCGCACGTAGAGGAATCAAGTGGTAGAGCGCTCACTCACAAACCGCTTGTCCTACACCACTATCGCCTTATCCCCGTTCCTCTCTTTTTTTCAATCAACCAAAACATAGTCCACGGAAGCTTTCGTCTGGTGGATGTGCAGGCATAGCGAGCCGCCCGACATGAGCTGAGAAGCGGTGAGAACGGCGAGGGTAATCGTCGTCGCCAGGGAGGTCGATTAGGATTGCAGAGGGCTGGTCTTCGGGAGCGTTCTAAGCGCGTTGGAAGCGCTGAGGTGGGCCCTCGAGTTTTATCAGGGGCGGGGAGTCCCTGGCGCTGTGCAGAAGTTGGAGAGATGTAATGGGAGGGAAGCTAAGCACACCGTTTTCACACAATCTTGCCTCTCCTCCTCCTGCGAATCCCTTTCCCTGCACTCTTCCTCTTCCGGTCTCTGCACATTCCCTCCTTCGACCCTCTGCGTTTGCCGTATCCAGAATATCTCAGCGAATACATGTCGTGGATTCGGGTGGTGAGAGTGTAAGGCAAGAGGTGACAGATTCGCCAGATCAACCCACCCGCTATCAAACGTAAAAATGATGGGAACGAGGGCAACAACGACAGATGTCACCCAAAATGGACGCCCGGCCGGTGATGCATCCCGAAACGGTCAATTATCCCGGACCTCCAGCGTCGCACTCATTCAAGAGCAACGTACACTACGTATTACAGTCAATAACAAGCTAGTCATAGCCTATGTATGTATACCTATGCGCTGTGGTATCTTTGGTCTTGTTGTGTCTCTCTCTCTGTTTTTATTACGGCTAATTCGTGGAAGAAGACTGGCTGGTATACTATTTACACGCGAGTGTGCATGATTTGAGCAACTTAGTAGGTGATGGGAGCCGACGAGAGGCGGTACTACAACCACCAGGAGAGCAAATGGGCGCACGGAAGGCGTTGTTGACGCTCGAGGTTCGTACTCAAGCCAGGAAGCTGTCGGTGATGGACCGCCATTGACCGGTGATGATACCTTCCGCATTTGGGGGGGGTCTGTGCACGTGTTGTAGCGGGTGGGCAGATCTGATGAATCTGTCACCTCTTGGTGTAAGGCAAGATGAGAATGAGCGTGACATCTCTCCGATCGACCACCACCTGCCCGCTACCCACCGCTTCGATGGCTTAAATCGTTGCGCGCTTGCGGCAAAAACTCTTTGACGCCTTCACCGAGCTCAAAAAACACATCTGGAGCAACATACCAACGAATCCTGCTCCGCTGGACGAAACTTTGAAACTTAGAAGTGCATGCAACAACTACGACAAGCTGGTAATCACTCTCAACTGCCACCCTACGGAGACGGACAACCTATGTCCAACTGCCAAAGTGACATGCAACGACATCTTGATGAAGGCCGCGAACGTCCAACGAGCGAAAGCTGCGAAACTAAGTAATCAGCAGCTCAAAATGGATCGTCTCAAACTTGCGCGAAGTCGTTCACCACCGCCAGCTGACTTCACCTTACCCATTCCGAGCTCCAATCTGTCGCATCTCGAACCCCACCACGGTGTGAAGCCGCAAACGTTTTTGCGAGTACCCGGTCATCTCATGTGCCTCGCCTGTTACCACCAGGGAATTGTCGCCTCATCGAATGGCCACGTCCTTCGCTCGCCGCCCGTGAAGCGCCAGCGTTGCTCATGACACTCATTAACCCGATTGCGCGAAGTGCCAGAAACCACTTGCCCGAATTTACTGCTCATGATAACTGATGAACAGCTCCGGTACAAGGCTGTTGAGAAAGCATCCTTTCCAGTCAGACTGCTCCAGAGTTACGAATTCTTCTTGTGGTTGAACTTACGATGGAAGAATCAATGACGGTTTCGCTAGCAATGCTGACGGCGTTGTGGTTTATCTCAATTTTCAAGTGGCTTGGACGACCTCCTTCGTTACATCAAGGAAAAGTGGACACGAAACGGCGAAGAAGGGAATGACCACCATATAACATCTATCGGACTATAAATTTCTAATAAAACACGTACCACATCCTCTATCCGCACCCTCCCGACTCATCCATTGCCATTCTGGCCCCTCATCCACGTCTCTTCCCCATTCCCTTCTGAGCCTTCTCGTCACATAGTGCAAGAGTCGGCACATACATATATGATATCTTTCGAAAGGGCGAACGGCCGTCTCTATCGAGTGTACCTTGTTCTTCGGGATACACCCAGCCAACTATCCAGAACTTCTTGTCCTCCAATTCTTTGGAGAAGGGCTTGCCAGTCAATCGCGATTTCGTTTTCACTGCTTTGGGCCGCGGCTGGCGCCGGGGATATATGAAGTGCTTCTCGTGCGAGATATGAGTCTAATCCGGCACCAAGGACGGTTCTGAAAATGGTTTGAGGCACTGGGGAAGAGGGGAGTCGACCACCAACAGACTTTTTCATGTCTCGCTTGAGCCTGCTTTGCGCATATCAACAGCGCGACTCCGAGGATTGTCACGAGCGGACGGGGAGGGTCCGACGAATCAGTAAGCAGTCTCTCTCTCTCTGCATCTTGCGCATGTCGACTGACATACGGCCTCCGGACAATACGCTCGCGACAATGTATTTCGGGAATCGGCTGACGGAGGGGTGCAGAGGGGAAGGAGGGTAGAATAATGAGAATGGTAAAATGATGAATTACGACGGCCACGATTACAGCAATTGCCAAGACTATCACGATAGGTACGAGTGTTGGTCTTCAGTTCTTCACCAAGAATATGGCCGATAAAAATTCCATGATCAACAGCTCCCATCGTATGCGAGTGAGAGGACAGAGCTGGGTATATAGTTGACCCTGCTGCAACTCTGGCTGGTATATAAATCCCTCTGCGACCGAGATAAAGGAGCTTACCTAGCACTACCGCCGCTCCGCCTAAGACGCGAAAGGCTCTGCTCCAACACAGTGACCCCTCGAAACGTCCTCCAGAACCTTTCTCAGCGCAGTGTTTTCCATATTCGAATCGCCCGAGACGGTCTACATCCACCACCCAGCTCGTCGTCTTGCACCAATGCCCATTCTGCCCCACGAGCGCCTCCACACAAAACACCTCCCAACGAGGGCGTTCCTGCGCGAATTCGAGGGCAGCAAGATTTGCGTGTCGTGGGATGGACCATATGCAGCATGGGATACAGCTGGTTTATTGCCTGACGGCGGGGATGAAGAGATACCAAGTCGTTTTTCGAGGGACAGCGTGTGACGATCACGTGGATTGTGTGACGCGAAATATGGAGTCCGTGGAGAAGATTGGGTCCAGCGGTCGAGTGCGGAACAGGAGCTGCGAGGAAGCTGTGGGAAGGTTGTAAGAATGGTCTCCAGAAGTTTAAGCGATGGTATGCCGGGTCGGAGACCAACCAGGGGCTTTGCCAGAACTGTGCGATTTCGCCAGTCAAAAGTCGAAGATGGCGGACGGGTGCGGCAGGAATCGTGAATAGTCACTGCTGAGGAGTATGACGGCTAATGTCGTTGAGTCGTTATACTATGAATGTAATGAAAGGCGAGGAGGCGAGTAGGTGACACCGTTTGGCGGTGGTGAAACTGGGGTTGGAGAGAAAGCGACAGGCAAAGCGGTGGACCCCTCGAAGTGTTTTCCAAAACCATCCTCATCGCAGCTTTTGAAGCATTTGAGTCGCCCGAGAAGGTTCGTATCGGCCACCCAGCTCCTCGTCTCGCGCTAATGCCCATTCTGTCTCACGAGCGCCTCCACCCAAAACACCTTCCAACGAAAGCCTTCCTGCGCGAATTCGAGGGCAGCAAGTTTTGGGTGTCGTGGGAGACACCCTATGCAGCACGGGATGGAGCAGGTTTGTGGCCTGGTGGCGTGGATGAAGAGCTGCCATGTCGTTTTTCGGAGAGCATGTGACGATCACGTGGATCGGCAAAAGAGACGCGGAGAAAATTAGGCCAAAGCCTAAAGGTCGAGTGCGGGGGGAGGGATTCTAAGAAATGAGGAGCAACTGCGGGAAGGTGGTAGGAGCGGCCTTCAGCAGCTCGAAGGATGGTATGACTGGTTGGAGACGAACCCGTAGCCTCGCCAGAACTGGGCCATTTTCCAGTCAAAAGTCGAGGATGGCGGACGAGAGTGCGGCAGGAACGGTGAAGAGTCACTACTGAGGAGTATAACGGAGAATGTCTTGGAGTCGTTGATGAAAGGCGAGTTCAAGCGAGTCATTTGGGGGTGGTGAAAAGTATTCAGAAAAAAAGCGGCAGGCAAAACGGTGGACGGCATTGTAGGGATGCGAAACATGATTGAGTTTGGGAGTCGTATACACAGAACGAAGGGGATTCGATTTCAAGGGAGGGGTGGGTGGACATGAGGGAAACGAAGTCGTCGAAAGAAGGAGAGGCAAGAGCAAGCTGTCCCGGGAAAGCGGTGAGCGACAGCCGAGCGAGCAGAACACAGAGCCACTCACGACCATGTCGGGCCCAGATTGTGCTGCTCCAATACAAAATGCCTCTTTCGCTCTACCATCTTCGCCACCATCCACCTCTGTCCTTTTGCGAAACGGGACTGGCGTGGGGTTGGCCGTCTTTCAGCGTGCCCAACATGCACGGAAAGTATGCAAGAATGCCACGCAGATGGCCAAAGGCAGTGGGCAATGGGGATGATACAGTTACCCTAACCAGACATGATGGCGGGGTTGTTTGTAGAGTCTAGTAGTAAGCTCTCAGTTTGCATTAAGGGCCGCGGGGTATATGACCTGTGCGGCTGGTTGGGGCGGATTCAGGACCTAGTAGAAGTGGAATCTGCGCACCTGTTCTCTACCCTCCAGACTCCCCCACACATTACCCGCCCTCTTTTCAGCTTTGCGTCGCGAATCCCCCGCTTCTCGAGTCTCACTCAATCAGCCCGCTTCCGCTGGCATATCCATCGCGCTGGCCGAGTAAGTGGCGTGTGTCGGAATGGGTGCACCCATGATGACGGCAAAAGGCAAGATGGGTATTGACGTGACATTCGTCATTCGTCGACGGACACCACCACTAACGGCAACCACACTCACCTGCAACCTCTTTGCCCGAACCCGCTGTCGCGTTTGAATAGTTATTATTGTTCACAGATGATTTTTCTAAAAACGATTGGAGTCGTAATCTTGCTGGACGATGTAAAAATACCAGAGACTTGTCGAGATTCTGAAATTGGCGCTGCACACTACTGCATCCGATTCTGTACAGAATGCGCAAGATGTAACGTGGACTCTCATATATAATAAACGGCGTCCTTGCGAGAACTTCTAGGATTCAAAAAAAAGGTCCATTCGCGCAGTGTGTTTTTTGTTCATCTAATTAGAGTCCAGTACCAGTACATACAACCATAAAAGCCCGAATATTATTAGCATTGTTCCAGCAGCTTGTTCCTAGGGATCGGCTGCTTAAAGTCGTCCTTCCAGGTCGTTAAATTCGGGTTCGTGTATGCTTCCAGGTATCTGTCATCTATTCAGCCCAGCACAGAAGGCGCAAGAACAGAGACGGCGGACGTACGTGTTGATATAGTTGCTCGTTGGGCGGCTCGCAGGGTCACACCCAACGTTTATGCGGTCGGGGTGCTGATAGACGCGGATCCAGTCGATGCGCATCACCGCGGGGAAGGTAAGGTGTTCCATGTCGACAAACCCGAAGGAGGTCGAGATGCCCAGGTTCGCGATGATGTACTGAACGGGGAGTAAGTAGGGCGCTCTCCACTTGCCAGCGGAACAGACCATAGGTTCCTCGGATATTGGGCGTGCGGAAATGCTGACACGCGGGTCTTCGGCAAGACCGCCCGAGTTGAACGTCCATGCAACTTTGTTGTCGCTGATCCAGGTGATGTACTACGCCACGTTGAACAACCGGGTAGCGCGGAAGATATGGCGACAACTCACCGCCTTGTCATAACCGGGGACGTATTCAAACCCTTGGGTGGCGAAGCACTGGCTTTTGAGCTGATAACATTGTTGGTCTGGCGTGCCGTCAATTCTGGGCTACAGTATATCTTCCAATGGACACGTACTGGTGGCTGTCACGACGGAGCAAGGCTGCTGATAAACTCCGCCCGAGTAGTCGTTCTGGTGGGAGAGCTTATAGTCGGTGATGACCATGTTGTCGGTGGTATTGTACCACGCATAGAGAGCGTTAAAGGGCTGCAGAAGCGGTCAGTCCTCTAGATCAATATGCAGAGAGTTATGCCCACCGCGAACTGCGCAGACTGCGACACGTCTCCGGTACGAGCAGTCTCTGGGCCACCGATCTGGCCCTCGAAGATATCGATTTCCGGAGCCGAGCGGCCCACGTAGGAGCCATCCCTGTGCATAGGCCCAGGGTGGCTCTCCCCCGGACAAGTGCATCGACTCAGTCGTTGGCCAGGTTGGAACGACAGCGGTGTATTCGTACCGTGTCCATCGTCAAGCGCTGCGAGCGGGCCCTTGCCATCGGGGGTTGTTTGATTCGGTAGCGCACCGACATCACACGCGTCATAGGAGTACGGCCACTACGCAACATCAGTTAAGCCGATAGAACTACAAACAATTGCCAACGCACCATTCCATCCAACGTCGCACCACTACATTAAGCTTGATCAGCGAAGAGTAGAGGTAGACGAGCATGCGACGCACTAGCCAGCCCTACCAAGATTGCCCAGGGTCCATAACGCAGGCCCTGATCTCATCGTCAACAGTCGTTGGGGAGAAACGACGGGAACTCACAGAGTCCGAAGACATTTGTCGTTCCAGGCATCATGACGTCTGCCACGATGAGCCCACCTATACAGGTCATAATTTCAATATACAACGCGAAAACGAGAGGAAAGCTAGCGCTCGCACCAGTGAAGCAGAATTTGTTCCACGTGCTCAGCATGGCGCCCATGAATTCGTGGCCGTGATTCGTCTTGGGGTCCTTCACGCGTGAAAGTGTAAGCTCAAGCGCTCCATCACGAGTGGTGACCGCCCCAGGATCGTACCACTCCATGTTGCCCGTGGCCCAGTAATGTAGGTCGAGAGCTTCCCTGTTTCGCCGTCAGTTAAAATAACATGAGAGACGGTAGCGCACCAATAAGGATCGTCTCCCGGGTAGAAGGTGCGGCCCTCCTGCTCGAATTCGTCGCTGAAGACGAGTTGCAGGACCTGTGATGGATCATTGTATGAATGTACTTGGTAGAACTCCTACGACACATCAGCAACAGACGAAGAAAATGATAGCGACGAGCCTTGGGAGTGTTTAGATCGATGAGTCCAAAGTTACCCATGCTTGCGACCTGTCCAGTGGAGTTGACCAGCAGCGCCGCTTGTTCTCGCGCGGTCGTGAAGTAACTGGCTAGTGGGTATCCAACGCTACACAATAGTTAGCAATGGGTTCAAGAATGGAAAGGCATTTACAATAGACCCGTACATGCTAACATCAATACCATGAGACACCCGACATTGGAAATTCCGCGGGCGGTGAAGAGGTCGTTCATTTGGCGGTAATCCGAGGCATATCTTGGATCGTGCAAAACATCATCTGGCTCAGGCCCGCTAACGGGGATTCCCCACACGGCAGGATCTGCGTCAAAATGAAACTTCGACTGTTAGCCTGGAGAGCAATGCATTGCATGACGAAATGCGCACCTTCTCTGACAGTGATAGTACTGCGCTGCTCGTCGGGCTGGCTCGGGAGAGCGAAGGGTAAGGCCCGACCACCGCAGATGTGCTAGATGCATACGAATGGACGCGAAAGGAGCGCGGTGGTCGAAAGGGCGAGCTGGCGGTAGGCGACCCAGGAGTAGGCCTGAGATGAGGGTTTGGAAGTGGGGGAAAGTTGCCGTCCACCCAGTCACTATCCGGTGAAGGCGGGCTTGGGCTACCAGCAGGCACGTGGGTGTATGGGACGACAGGTCTGGCCATGAGTCGTTTTGTGTCGACAACAGTGCGCGGCTGTGGCGTTGCGGCGTGTTGCCGCGAGAACGTTTAGGAAGGAGAGACGGGTCCAAAAAAAGGCGCGCTGCTAGGTGAAAGCCTATAAGTATATGAGTGGTCCTTCACTGCCGCTGCGCGTTTGAGTACTGTAGCATTTTATTCAGTTCGTATGTCACGTGTCACAGTAGCTATAAAATTCGAAATTTTTTCGTATGTCATACCATTTTGCTCAAAATCCTCTCCCAAAAAGGCAATTTATGACATTTCCGGGCGCCTCCGGCGCCAAGAGTTTCCTAATTAGGAAATAATTCGAATTGATATTTTCGTATTGAATGTCACACCACTTTTGGCATTCGAATTGAATAAAATACAACAGTAATCTGAAATGTGCGCAATAGATCAGGTTCAAACGCACCGAGTCCATGACAAATCGTTGGAGTCATCTATTTGCGGACCTTGTTGACCGGCGCTGTACTCGAAGTCGGGATCGGGATACGTCTATCCGTTCAGCAGTTGATATACTCTCCCAGTACGACGGTTCTCTGAGTTCGCTTTCCGAGCAGTGCCGGCCGCCATGGATGGTCAGGTCGAGCTCGGTGACTCCCCTGTCACGCCATACGTGGCAGTTCCCACGACGACCCAGATATCGGTGATCGTCGCCATTGCCTCATGGCGCGTGTCGGGGATTTACGAGCGAGCGATCGCCATGAAAATAGGGCCTTAACCTAGTGCTCAAGATCACCCTTCGTTCCGAAACTCGACGGGGTGGACTCGGACAGCCCCGCCGGCCCTGATTCTATTTTAATGGATCCGGAGGCTCGAGGCAACATTAATTTAGTCAGAGTGCGGATTGTGAACTAGCAGCACATCAACATGTGCCGCACTAAGATGTGGATGTAATAGCTACTTACTTACTGGTACGGGTACTTGGTACTTGGACGAGTGATAATACGACAAAAAAGACAGAAAGAAGAGGGAAACAAAGGAGTAGAGGTAGAACGACACAATATCAAGAGCGAGGCGTAATAGACGAGAATGGAAAAAAGAGACAGCGAACTGGTAGGTAACAAGGCAGGCAGGCTAGGTACTAGTATTACAGGCGACAATCAAGTCGTGCAGAGGGGAGGGACTGGCCAAAAATACATGTAGGTGTGGGGAAGAACAAACGTCAATGGATGAAAAATGGATGGGGCATTATCGGAGGGTGGACTAAGGTGGTGGTGTTGATACACAATGGCGGGTATATCTTCTAGTTGATGACGAATCCTAGCGCAGTCGGGGAAGCCGGCGCGCTCAGCCTCCGCGCGCGACGCTGGGGTGGGAGCTGTCTCTCTCCAGCATACGACGACGGCACGCCCAACAACTCTGGCGTTGGAGTCTCCATGCCCAATCCACCGGGCAAGGTCATCCCCATGTCCCTCCTCCGTTTCGAATGGACCGGCTCCAGCGTCTGACTGGGAAGCCGCTTGAACGACGGACGACCACTGTTACTTCCTCCACTTCCGGTGGTACTTCCCCCATCGTCTCCGTCGTCTTCGCGAGAACCTTCATCAGACGAGGGTGTGTTTGGGAACGGGGAAGCAGGGTTGGAGCCGGTAGACGAAGATGAAGTACCAGGAGGGGGAACATTGTAGGAGAAGCTGTGGTTTTGGCCCTGTCCAAACGCGCCGGCCAACGAATTCGACGACTCGCGGGACATGGCATTGAAGTCGAAACTCTGCTGCGTTGGCTGGCTCGACGAGGGCTGTGGCTGGGAAGATTGTCGTGTCGGTGGCGAAGCGGATCCGTGACTGGTAAGAGGCCTCTGCTTGACCGGCTTCCTCAAGACCAACTCGGGCGCCTTCCTTGCCAAGACAGCAGCCTCGTAGCTCCGTAAATCGTCCGCATTGTGCATTGTACGTGGCGGCTGGTGTTGCTGAGATACTGGAGGAGCGTGTTGCTGGTGATGGTGGACAGGGAAAACGGGTGGGGCATCCATCTCGCCCTCTGGAGTTTTGACGCTCGGAAGACTGGAAACGCGATATCGCCTTGGGGGTGGGCCACTCGTACCGAGCAAACCGCCAGCAGCGTTGGCCGCATTGCTGGCACTAGCACTGGGCGTCTCCATTCCCAACCCGCCGTTCACATTCGCCAATGGGTCGGTCGTGTTTTGTCCCGGACTGGGACCAGTCAACGGCGTCCGCATATAAGCCTTCCAAAACTCTCTGAGCTCCCTTGTCTCTGCTTCGCGGGTCCCTGGAGTTTGAGCTGGATGGCCATGTCCATGACCAGAAGACGACCCAGCGGAGCCCGGTGGGGGAGGTCCATAAGACGATTGGTGAGGGTGAGGGGCCTGGAATGTCAAAGCGGGCGGCGCCGGAATAAGAGGAAGTTGGAGCGGGAGCGGTAAACCCAGTCGGTGTTTGTCGTTTTGGGTGGGAGTGGCCTGAAGACCGGGAATATGAGCATGGGGCGCAACGGGGCTTTGACTCGTGGTAGAGAAGAAGGGAACTCCATCAGCCGCAAGACCGGCGAGGACATTGGGGTCATCGAGCGACATAAGGCCAAACGCGCTTGAAAATTCCGAGCGATGACCATGATGTGGTCCATCTGGAGGTCGGGCATGAGAATGGGGATGGTGCATGTCGAGCGAAGCTTGTCGACCATTGGCCCCGGGTAGATGTGGGTGGTACCCGCCATAATCCTGAGCGTCATCATTAGCGTCATCACCCGAAATAACAGAGATGGAGGCGTACGCTTAAGCCAGCGCTGCTCGCAGGCCTGCTACCTGCACTAACACTGCCAGAATGCTCGCTGGAGGCATCCAATGCATCATACCGGTCATAGTCGTAGCTGTCGTAAGCTTCTCGGTCTCTATATTCCCCAAAGTGGTGTGGATGGGAAAAGTGTGGTAATCCTGGAGAGAATGGATAACGTGAGCGACATCGTACGATCGAAGCGGAAGCAGAGAAGATGCACCTTCTCGAGATCCGGCGGACAATGAGAAGGGAGGACTACTCGTCGTCGGGCTCGCATTGGTCGGTGGTGCATAGGCGAAACCAGCCCCAGAAGCCGCCTGCTGAGCGTAGAGGAACTGGCCAGGGCCCTGTCCAGCGCCAGCTAAGCCATGCATGTCGAGCGAGTAGCCCATGGAGGACGCAGACGGGTGGGCAGCGGCCAAAGAAGAGGGATGACCTGGTCCAACCGGCGCCGTTTGGCGGTGAAACTTGACGAAAGTACAGCGGGTTTTGCGAGTAACACATTTGGCTAGCAAAGAGACGCTGATTCATTGCTGGATTGCGAAGAAGAGACAACGACATACCGCAAGGATTACTTCCATCGCAAGGCAGGCTACTCTGGACACACTGGTCGCATGCTTGCTTGCTGGTCGTAGCGCGGGCAGCCGCCGTAGTCCCCTTCCGTCTACCCGAAGAAGCACCACCAGCCTTTGAAGCGCCTGCGTGGCACTTATTTACGTGTCGAGAGAGAAGGTCACTAGTAGACAGGAACCCTCAACGAGAGAAAGGAAGGGACAATGGTGACGCACCTTCGGGCAAACTGGTCGCCACAGTGAACGCATTTGTACGGTCTGTCGCCGGTGTCTGAAGATAGACGCTCGTCGTCAGCATAGGGAGTTGGAGACGAGATAAAGAGAAAGTAAGTGTGGAATGGAAAGGAGACAAGGTAAGGATAGGTAAGGGAGGCAGCAAAGTCAAGCTAGGGATGCGTTGCTAGGCAAGGAGAGGAGACGACTCCACTGCTCCACCCAAGCGCCACACGTTTCGCAAGGCCAAACGAACAGGGAACTGGCGGGGTAGCAAAGGCAAAAGCCACTCACGAGAACGCATGTGCCGCGCGACATGCTGCGGGCGGGTGAACGTCGCCTGGCAAACGGGGCATTTGTGGTCTCCGCCCATCCTGTTTTCTCGTGCGTGCAAATATGTCTATCCAGCGGTGGGGTCGGTAGCGTAATTGGTTTCGAGGCGGAAAGTGGAGAGGTGGAGTCGGGTGGGGTGGGGCGTAGATGGGATTGTTGCTTGGTGCTAGTCGTTTTCGCTTCGCTTCTTTTCGTGGGTCGCAGGGATCGTAACCGAGGCGCTTATAGCCTCGTCGTCGTGGTCGGCCGTGCGCTCGTCGAGTGTAGAGAGCGGATCAGCGCGAGCGAGAGCTGGGTTGTTGGTGGTGTGGAGCGAAAAAGCAATTAAAGAGGCAATTGGCTCGGTTCCCGTCACCCTCTTTGCCTACGTCATCGCTTTGGTCGTATTTGCATGCTGTGCCCCACATACGTCACCCCCTTACTTTCCTACCTTTCCTCCCCTTACTTTCACGGCGCTGCTCTGAGCTGCTCCCGTAGACTCGCCAAACCCTCTTCGTCGATACACCTACCGTCTTTTCCATCCTTCTCTCGCTCACAAGACTGTCGGACTATTCTTCTCCCATCGATGACGTCAAATAATTCAATGACCTAAATTTCAGCAATTTCCGAGTTTGTCTGACGATTTGATCGGGCTGGGCTTGCCGTGTGTCGCGACGTCACCGAACCGAGCAAACAGCCGGGCGCCCGACTGCAAAAGGACGACAATGAGGGCGACCGCAAAAGCTGGCGAGATGGCGCTGCGCACTGTGGGAGGGAACTACTCCGGAAAATATCCTCCTGCCGCAAGTAGCAAAATCAAGACTAGATCGCGGGACGCTGTGGCGTCGGACTTCGGAACACATGTTGCTCGATCGCTTCCTAGTCTCACACAAAATTGCTCACAGAATTGAATCCCGAAGCCGGTCCGGTGGCGCTTCGCACGGCCAAAACTCGCTCATTCTGCTCCGTATTAACGTTGCTCCACCTCTACCTTATGGAAGTGACCACCAACGAGCGCCTCAGTGACCTTTCGCTTTCAGCAATTGCCAGCGACGTCCTTCAGCGCGCGACGAGCTGACCCGAATTATAGATACCGAGCAGCTTCTCGTGCATGAAGCACGTCGCAAGTGATAAGCGTCGTCGTCAAGGCAATGATGTGCGCTGGGCAGAAATATCGTACGACCCAGGATTTTTTCTCTCCTCCTAGTCTGCCTGGTTTTGCGTTGCCCAGACCAGAGTGCTCCGGGTCTTGAGTAGGTACCGAATCACTAGGTTGCTGGTAGGCAAAAAGAACACTAGACCGACAGCGACTTTCGCGCCAAGCATTGCCGCCTGTGATCATCCATTGCAAGGCCGCGGGATTGTCGCGCCTCAATTATCGCGGAGCCACCCGGACGTCTAGCCCGGAGCGTACATCAAAATCGAAGCAGTTGATACATAGTGAATTCCGTCAGCGCCGTGCCATCCGCGACAGCGAAGGGGTTTGGAGTTGTTGACGGACAATTGCAACATGTCAATGAAGTCCTTTGCAACGACTGATACCTGGGTCGCGCTGTCGAGAACTTAATCTGCCAAGTAACTAACTGTAAGTATAAGTAAAAATAAATCGACAGTTCAATGTCGCTTCTGACAGAACTTCAAATTAATCAGTGTGGAAGTAGGGGAGGTCTTCACAAGGACTGCCAATATTTCTTGAGAAAAGATGTAAATTCAATGAAGCAAGGAATAAATCAATAAAAAGTAATGGTCCATCCTCAGGCTCAAAATCTTGTCCACTGCGACTAGTACTTGATCGTGATCTTCGCATTCGTCGCCCCATCCGTGTTGACCGTCGTGGACAGCCCGTCCGCCGCATCGTTCGCCGTCGCCCACTTTACGCTCGGCGCGTTCCCATTCTGCAGCGTCAAGTTGATCGCCGAAAACACCGTCGAGCCCGCGGGGTAGTCGCTTGCGGCCTTGAGCGCGTACGCCTCGAGGGTCTCCGTCGCCCACGTGAGCTGCGCGGCGTTCTTCACGTTGAGAATTGTGTTGTCCACATTCGTGAAACGCGTGGCGTAGTTGTAGTTCGTGCCAGAGATGCCGGTGAGCGTGATCACGCCGTTCAGCGCCATCCCGGCGCTGACCCTGATCGGAGTCGTGTGGAACACGTTGGAGCCGACGAGGTACCACGACGCCACGGCCCAGAACGCGCCGCCGCCGGCCGCGCTCGGGCCGTACTGCAGCACGGGCTGGATGATCGCGTCGAACGAACTCGGCTCGATCGAGTTGAACAGGAAAATCGTCTGCCCGTTCTGCGTCTTCGGCACGGGCGGCACCGTCCACGTCGTCGTGAAGTGCTTGATGGGCGACGCGCCCTGGTTGAGCCAGCTGGCGTAGGTGATCCACCCCGTCTTGAGCGCGCGTTCGGCGACCCGGACCGGCGTCGGCCCGGGCGTGGCGCCGACGGGGACTTGCTTGAGCACGGTCCCGTTGGCGTGCAGGATGTGCACGAAGTTGTCGACGTGCGCGAGGCTGCCGCCGGTGGGGACTAGATGAACGTCTTCCGCAAGCTTGGGGCCACCCGGCACGATTACCGTGGTGGTCGGTGCAGAGAGCACGGCGAAGGGCAAGAGCGCGGCCCCGATAACGAAAGCGAATGTGGAGCGCATTACTAGTGTGCAAATTAGTTTAGTTAACGTTGCAAGAACATAACAGCGGATCTACTGACTTTGTAGCCGGAAAGTACTAGTGTTGGAGTTGAGGACACTGAGGATAGGTTCTCCGCATTCTATCTTTTATACGAACAGCAGTAACAGCTCCGAATTAGGCAGCACAAAGATTCACGACGTTGCTACGCTGGGTGCAGTCTCGTGGTATCCAACGGGAATCGAAAGGCGGGACCTATGGCTATGTGCACCGGTCAGTGGCCACCAACATCACTTGAAGCCAAATGAGACGGTACCGCTAGAGAGTCCCGCTGTCTGATAGACTCGTTTGCTTGGGCTGAAAATACGCCGAAACTCGTATGTGGCGGTTAGATCCGCGGTGGTGGGAGATGTAATGAGACGATCAACTCACGAACTGGACAGCGTCCGTGCACGAAGCATGCTGCATGGCGGGCGTTGTCCACCGCAAACGGACATCCTGTGTGATGCCTTCGCGGGACATACAGTTACCCGCCGTGGTTTGAATCGACGGGGAAGGAAGGAGGGCGGCTTCGATTGTCACGGTGCTCTACGAAGCAATGTCGGCCTTTGAGGAAGAGGACAAATGAGTCGAAGTCAATCTGGACTACTTAGTAGTTTGTTGGTAGAAAATGGCCGACTGTCGACGGTAAAGGCTTGAATATTGCTGTCGGATGTCCAGAGCCCGATATTAAGAGCTACGCGCTATGACTATGGGCGCGTATTGAGGGGTTTTTGCGCATGCCTGCCTAAAAGTCAACGGTCAACGGGGTCAACCTTGACAAGACAAGGGTGACTGTCTTCAAAAACTTGACAAAAATGCGCTGATATGGGTGAGCCTGCTTATCGTCTCGGGCAAACGCGCCAGAGGTCCGGGCAAAGAGTGTGCAGGCGAGTGCCGTTGCCGGTAGTGGTGGTGGTGTTCGTCCGTCGACGAATGTCACGCCGACACTCATCCTGCCTTTCGCCGTCACCATCATCGCCATTCCGACACACCGCTTACTCGGCCAGCGCGCTGGACATGCCAACAGAAGCGGGCCGATAGGAGGGTGGGGGCTGGCGACGCGTAGCTCGAAAGCGGGCCGAAATGGGTGGAGGGAATAGGTGCGCAGATTCTGCTTCTCTCGGGTTCTGAATCCGCCCTGACCAGCCAGCCGCACAGGTCATATACTCCCGCGGTCCTTAACTAAAACTGAGAGCTTACAGCGAGTCTACAACCGCAAGGTCTTGTCCGGTCACCGCCCTGCAGGTACCTATTTCGTCCTCCTCGCCAACTGCTTTTCAGCTATCTGTGTGGCATTCGGTGCATACTTTCGGTGCATGTTGGACACGCTGACAGACGGTAAACGCCACGCTGGTCCCGTTTCGCAGAAGGACAGAGGTGGGTAAGATAGCGCAGAGCAAGAGGCACAATCTTGGGTACAATTGGCCCGACACAAGTCGTGAGTGGCTCTGCGTTTTGCTCGCTTGGCTGTCGCTCACCGCTTTCCCCGCACAGCTTGCCCCTACCTCTCCTTCTTCGACGACTTCGCTTCCCTCATAGCGCTGCCTTGAAATCGAATACCCTTCGTTCTGTGTCTATGCCTCCCAAACTCAATCATCTTTAAATGCATTTCACCGCCCGCCAAATGACTCGCTTGACTCGCCTTCCTTTGCATTCGCAACGACTTCACGACGTTCTCCGTTGTACTCCTCGGTAGTGACTATTCACGATTCCCGTACGCCATCCTCGACTTCATTGTCAGGGTTAGCACTTCAAGTTTTGACTCGCGAAATGGCCCAGTGCTGGCAAAGCCCCTGGTTAGTCTCTACCCCGCCATACCATCTTTCAAGCTGCTGGAAGCCACTCCTACCATCTTCCCACAGCTTCTCCTCATCTCCTCCCCCGCACTCGACCTTTGGCCCTCATTTTCTCCGCGTTTCTTTTTTGTCGTGTAACACCGATCCACGTGACCGTCACACGTAGTCCCGCGAAAAACGACATGGTACCTCCTCATCCACGGCAACAGGCCACAAAGCGGCTGTATCCCGTGCTGCATAGTGTGCCTCCCACAACACTCAAATCTTGCTGCCCTCGAATTCGCGCGGGAAGGCCCTCGTCGGGAGCTTGAGTGGAGGCGATTGTCGGGCAGAATGGGCATTGGCGCCAGACGACGAGCTGAGAGGCGGATGTAGACCTTCTCGGGCGACTCAAATGCATCAAACGCTGCGCGGAGGACGGTTCTGGAGGACGTTTCGAGGGGTCCACCGCTTTGCCTGTCGCTTTCTCTCCAACTCTAGTTTCACCACCCTCAAACGATGTCGCCTAACTCGCCTCCCCGCCTTTTATTGCATTCGTATCATAACGACTCAACGAAAATTTCCGTCATACTCCTCGGTAGCGACTATTCACCGCTCCTGCCGCACTCTCGTCCGCCATCCTACTTTTGACTGACGAAATGATCCAGTTCTGGCACGGCTACTCGTTAGTCTCCAACCCCGCCATACCATCCTTGAATTCCTTCAAGCTGCTGATGGCCGTGTTGACAATATTGCCGCAGCTTCTCCTCATTTCCTCCCCCGGACTCGACCTCTGGACCTCATTTTCTCCACATCCGTTTTCCTGTCACGTGATCATCACCTCGAAAAACGACATGGTATCTCTTCACCCCCGCCGCCAGGAGCTAAACTGACTGTATCTCGTGTTAGATGGGGTGCCTCCCACGACACTCAATTCTTGCGGCCTCGGATTCGCGCGGGAAGGCCTTCGTTGAGCGGTGTTTTGGGTGTGGGCCAGAATTGGGCAGAATGGGCATTGGTGCGAGACGACGAGCTGGGTGGTAGATGTAGACCGTCTTCGGTGACTCTAATATGGAAAGCGCTGCAAGCAGGATGGCTTTGGAAGACGTTTCGAGTGTTAGAGCAGAGTCATTCGAAGCAGCGGTAGTGCTCGGTAAGCTCCTTCATCTTCTCCGCAAACGTCATCGTACTTAGTCCTTATCCCAGCTACATATAATCGCTTGCAGGAGGGTCAACTCTATGCGCGGCTCTGTCTCTCTAATACGATGTTGTTGATCATCGGACTTTCATTGCGCTATGTTCTTGGTGAAGAATTGAGAAGAAACACTGAGCGACAAAGAACAGCAATGTGGCAATTGCGGCCGGGGCACATACTGCAGGGAAGCCTTCCTCTTCGACGTGTGAAACAGCCCCCGAATGCGGCGAACTCCACTCAACGCGCGTGCCAGCTTACGATCGCCCAAGCAGCTGTCGTATCGGGATACGTGAACGGATACGTGGGGGGCAGCTCCGAGCACAGAGCCGCAAGCAAATACTGCCGCCGAATGTTTGTGAGCCCATGAAGAAGTAATCGCGGATCATCGGGCAAGAATGCCGATTTAAGTATTGTCATTGGCCACTCTCTATTGTATTTCGTTGCTAAGAGGCTCGACTATATTATGTCCTGCTAGAGATATTATCAGAACGGCGTGAGAGGCACGAAAGGAACAATGTACCTTGTCGACCTTGCAGTGGCTTTGCCGTTGTCTCCGCGAACGGCCCGTATAGTATGCACATGCGATATTGTTTAGCTCTGTCAATCTTCGACTATTAGTCGCAGAAATCTGGGTCCAGAAACTTCCGCTTACAGTTTAACTCCCGTCTACCGTCTCTCCGATTCCGCTGGGGGCTTTTCCTTCGAAAGACTCCACAATGCAGCTGGACTTGCGCGAAGCTCGCGAGGGGGTATGTGCTGGAGAGAAAGCCTGCGTAGACCGCAAAGCTCAAGCGAGATATGAAAATTTTCGTTGCTCGTCGAATGCCCCCCTCGAAATCCACGCTTCGACCAGTGCCCCCAAACCATCATGAAAACCGTCCTTGGTGCAGCATTGGCTTCATATGTCGCACAAGAGACACTCCATAAGCCCCGAATATCTCTCCGGCGCCAGCCGCGGCCCATTCTGGCGGGGAAAGTAGTCAAAACGAAATCGCGATTGACGTTGCCGTTGTCGACGGAATTGGAAGAAATCAAGTTTCGGATAGTGAGCTGAGTGTATCCCGAAGAGCAAGATTAACTCGATGGAGACCTTCGTTCGCCCTTTCAAAAGTTATGTGGCGAGTTTTGACGGCGTGACAAGAGGGATTGGGAAAAGGGGTGGATGAGGGAGCAGAATGGCAATAGATGCCTCGGGAGGGGTTGATGCAAGATGGGTAAAGTGCTTTGTATGCCCAAGAGATGATATCGAGACCATCTCTTGTGCTCCCTCCTAGCGCGAGCGACAAGCCACCAATTTGCGTCGGAGAAGCGCAACATTCGCTATTCGTGGGGAGTCTGACGAGACAAACGCTTTTCTGTGATCCTGGTAACGGATATGAGTTCGGGAATGAGTTATGAGCAAAGAATGACACAACTCGCTAAGTACTGCATCTGTTCAGCGCCCGAAACCCAAAAACCCTTTGCGTAAACGCACCAACCCCTCCAAACACCCGCCAAAACCTTCTGTAATCCATCATTTGGGGCCCCCAGTTGACCTGAAGCAGATCAAATTCCGCGTATATGTCTCCCTCGAATCCCAGAACCCGTTTTGCCCATCGAGCACATTCAGACGAAAAGCGAGCCAACGAAGGCTTTACCGGCCCAATTCACGGGCAGCAGTAATTGATTATGACGGGGAGATATATCTCCAAGCGCCAGATCGGGTTCATAAGTCGCCAGCCGGTGTGGACGAAGAGACACAACATCGTCTTTTGCGAAAGACGGTGTGACGATCACGTGCCGTTGTGACAGCGCGAAGAAGACGTGGATATCGTGGTGGAATCGTATCGCGCAAGTCGATCGTGAGGAGGAGGCCCGGCAGCATATGTTGAGGAAATTATGGGAGCGTATTTCAGGGGCCGCTCATAAGTTATCATGAACAGTAGGTTCCCGGGCAAGTGGTTTTGTGCAATCGGGCCAACGCTGGCGTTTCACGGGCTGTGAGCAAAAGACGGTTCCCTATTGGGAGCAGGCGAAGCGCATGGTATGAAGGATGAGATAGGCATACGCCAAAACGTTTGCGGGCCTGATATCGTGATGGGCTTTGAAAGGTGGCAGGTTGGAATGGGGAGGGTGAAGGGGGATGGCGGTGGTGAAAACGTATTCGCGCAACTTTGAGACGGTGTGGTCGTGAGAGTGTGAGTGTCGCATGATTTCCAGTGGGAGTGGTCGAGGAAGCAACAGCGCAGGTTACAGGAATAAAGCGTTGTATTTTTTGGCGGAAGTGCACACAGAGTACAACAGTGTGCCGTCTGCGGAAGGGCGTGAGTGCAGGCAAAACAGGCGAGGCGTAGAGCAGCGACTCACAAACTGCTTGTCCTACACCTTGGTGGCCTTGTCCCTCTTCTTCCAAAGTGTTTCTTTTTCAGACAGTACATTATAGTCCACTGTAGCTTTCGTTGGGGGAGTTGCGTGCAAGAAGAGCTGTCGCTATCAGCTGAGCAGCGGTCAGAAGGGCATAGGGTAATCGTCGCCAGGGAGAACAGACAGGTCGTTGGGGACTGGGGTTGCGTAGCGCCAGCTGTCGGGAGGGTCCTAGGCCGCATTAGGTGTGCCGTCTAGTTTTTATGAAAGCGGGGAGTGCCCCTCGTGCCTGCGAATTAGATAAATGAAAAGTGAGGGGAGCTGAGCACACACCGTTTTCACCCAATCTAACCTCTCACCCTCCTCCAATTCCCTTGCCCCGTACTCCTCCGCACTCGGCACGTTTCCTCCTTCTCCTTCGAGCCTCTGCAGTTGCCGTACCCAGAAGTACTCAGCAAATACATGTCGTGGATTCGGGTGATGAGAGTGTAAGGCAGGATGGCAATGCGCGTGACATCACTCCGATCCACCACCACCTGCTCGCTGCTGCTTGTTTCACTCCACCACTGCAGGATGGCTGAAATCGTTCCTCGCTCGCGGCACAAGCCCTGTGATGTCTTCACCAAGCTCGAAAAACGCATCTGGAAGCCCGGCCAAACTTAGACGCAGTCGCATGGCACAACCACTATGATCTGGTACTCTCAACTACTACCCCTACCGAGACGGACAACCCATTCCCCAAGTGCCACAGCGACATGCAACGACATCTCTCGATAAAGGCCGCGAGCGTCCATAGAGTCAAACTAGTCAGCAACTCAAACTACTAGTAGAGAATTCACTTCAATTCAGAACTATTGAACTTGAATGCCGAAATCTGTACTTACTGCTCCTGGAGTCGTCAAAAGACACTTTCGCACTTGGACTTTTTAACTCATGGTCTGCGCTTGAACTGATGGCCAAGGAAATAATCATGCAGAACGCAGGGCTCATCGCCCAGAAATGATATCGGTGCTCAATGCATATGGTACATCCAGTCTCCTCTGGTGTGTGTGTTCCTGTCTCGACTGTGACTCCGCGCGTTGACCGTGACGCTGCTATGAGTCGAAGACCCCTTCTTCTCCGTTAATCTCGAGCTGAACGGCGAACTGGAAAAAGTTATACACTGGCAGATAGATGAAAGTATTCCACGAGATGTAGATTGTGAACACGCTAATCTTATCACAGTATCGAATGTGACTCATTCCTATGATTAACCGTCAGTTATGTGAGATTCAAAACCCGTAGCATTCGCTCAATTCGGTACTTCTGCTCTTCGATTTTCTCCTCCTGCGTGGGGGGAGGGAAGTCCCGCGCTGCCTCCGCAACTTGCTCCCATCCCGCCCACGGCGCGATCTCATACTCCCGAACGAACTGCGCTATCACGGTGTCGAACGGGACGTCAAGGCCTTCGTCTCTCTGCGCCTGGTGCAACACAGTCATCATCTTGGCAACAGCGGCGGGTGATCCGGTGGCCATGGCGCGTCTGCGTGCCACGAAGAACTGTACTTTTGCTGTGGAACCTGCTGAGCTGGAAATCACTGCATTGGAAAGCGGCGCACCGTCGATTGTGCTATGGGCAAGAAAAATTGGCCGCGAAATGAAAGTGGCGCCATCAGCTTGCACGTCGCACTGTAATCATGGTCTTGAGCAAGGGAGAGTGCAAATTTTCCAACGAACCAGATAAGCAGCCCCAAAATAGCAATCATTGGCTAATTGTGCGATTTGACGGCGAAGCGTCAGGGAGCGGACGAATCCTGGTGCAGCAGGAGGACAGCCAATGAATTCGATTGGTGCAGGAGCAACGGGTGATACCGCTGCTAGATCAAAATGTTCGAGGCCACAGGATCGTTTGTGTGTTTTCCAATCCCGCTTTTGACATTGGCTATACCAGGGCTTCGTCACTTCTGGAAAGTGCGCGGATACTGAGGACGACTCACACGGAACAATACCAAACATGACCGCACCGGCTGCAACGCTTCAAACTGGACTGGGTTGATATCGTGTGGCACGCCGTGCACCGAGCGTCTGCCTTGGCATTCTCGCGCCGAGTCTCCCGTTCTTCCTCTTTGGTGAGCAGGTAATATCCGTCTCTCTTCAGGCTTGCGTTGACCTGTTTCATTCTCTGCTTCTCCTCGGCGCTTCGATGAACGGCATTCCGTGTTCTGGGGAACTCTTCTCGTGGATGGCCGAGCTAATCACCGTTAGCGTCCGCCCGGCCAGCTTGCAAAGGGAACACAGACATGTGTCTTGAATATGAAAATTAACGCCCACACAATGTACATGTTGCGGAATACTTTCAGTTGTTGGCATCCCAGTTTGAGGCCGTCCGGCGCATGAGCAGCGGTACGATACTCATTGTCACCATAAGGATGCTCGAAGAAGTAGAGTTCTTTCAGTTTGCCGGTTCCCTCTGGATCAACGGAGAGGAATGCATTCATCTTAAAAGGGCCGTTTCAGCGTTAAATCATAAATGCGAGGCGAGACGCAAATACGCACAAGTGAGATGAGGTTGTACTTCCCATCACCAGCAAGCCCCGAAACCGTCATCTCTGGGCATCCAGACCTGCTCTCTGCGCAGGTTCGCACGACGTAGCATGACGCTCTATACAGGCCTTCCATCACAATTGTTTCCTTCGCTGTCCGTTCCAGCGCGGTCCAGGAGTCAACGAATCCAAGCCTATATATCTCTATTGACGACTCCAGAAGCAGCAATTCGGCGTTGAAGAGCTCTTGATTGTGCTGTTTGAGTCGCTGATTAGTCTCGCTCACAGTGCGGACGCTCGTGGCCTTTATCAAGATATCGTTGCATGGCACTTGGGGCATGGGTCGTCCTTCCCGGTAGGGGTGATATTTCAGGGTGATTACCAGCTCGTAGTAGTTGTTCCATGCCACTATGTCCAAGTTTTTGTCCGGCGCGTTCTGCGCAGGATGATTCGCTTGGATCTCGCTCCAGATGTGCTTTTCGAGATCGGTGAAGTCGTCCCAGGGCTTGTGCCGCAAGCGAGCAACGATTGCAGCCATCCTGCAGTGGTGGAGAGAAACAAGCAGTAGTGAGCAGTCAATCGGAGTGATGTCACGCGCATTCTCATCCTGCCTTCCGCTCTCATCACCTGAATCCACGACATGTATTCGCTGAGTACTTCTGGGTACGGCAACCGCAGAGGCTCGAAGGAGGAAATGTGCAGAGTGCGGAGGAGTACGGGGCAAGGGATTCGGAGGATGGGGAGAGGTTAGATTGCGCAAAAACGGTGTGCTCAGCTCCCCTCACCTTTCATTCCTCCAACCTTTGCAGGAACGAAGGGCGATTATCAAACTGGACGGCACACTTAACGCGGCATCGGACCCTCCCGACAGCTGGCGCTATGCAACCCCAACAACCTGTGTGTCCTCCCTGGCAACGATTACCCTATGCCCTTCTGACCGCTCCTCAGCTGGTGACGACAGCTCTTCTTGCACGCAACTCCCCCAACGAAAGCTACAGTGGACTATAAGGTAATGTTCGAAAAAGAGACACTTTGGAAGGAAGAAGGACAAGGCGACCAAAGTGTAGGACAAGTAGCTTGTGAGTGGTTGCTCTACGCCTCGCTTGTTTTGCCTGCACTCACGTCCTTCCGCAGACGTCAAACTGTTGTACTCTGTGTGCACTTCCTCAACAAATACAACGATTTATTCTTGTCACCTGCGCTGCTCCTTCCTCGACCACTCCCGCTGACAGTCCCAATCTCACGACCATACCGTCCCAAGCCTGTGCGAATTCGTTTTCACCACCGCCAGCCCACTTCACACTCCGGATCCCCCATTCCAAGCTGCCGCCTTTCTAAGCCCACCACGATATTAGGCCGCAAACCTTTTGGCGCGTGCCGATTGCCTCCTTCATTCCAGCTGCTTCGCCTGTTCTCAACAGGGAACCGTCTTTTGCTCACAGCCCGTGAAACGGCCCGGGCGTTGGCCCGATTGCTCAAAACGACTTGCCCGGGAACCTACTGTTCATGATAACTCATGAGCGGCTCCTGAAATACGCTCCCATAATTCCCTCAACACACTCTGCCGGGCTTCCTCTTCACAATCGACTTGCGGGATACGATTCCACCACGATATCCCCGTCTTCTTCGCGGTGTCACAGCGGCACGTGATTGTCACACCGTCTTTCGAAAAAGACGATGTTGTGTCTCTTCATCCACACCGGCTGGCGGCTTATGAACCCGATCTCGCGCTTGGAAATATATCTCCCCGCCATAATCAATTATCGCTGCTTGTGTATTGGGTCGGTAAAGCGTTTGCTGGCTCGCTTTTCGTCTGGAGGTGCTCGATGGACAGAATGGGTTCTCGGAGTCGAGGGAGAGATATACGCGGAATTCGACCTGTTCCAAGTCAACTGGGGGCATCGAATGATGGATTAAAGAAGGTTTTGGGGGGTGTTTGGAGGGGTTGGTGCGTTGACGCAAATGGTTTTCGGTTTTTGGGTTCAACAGATAGAGTACTTGGTGAGTTGTGTTATTCTTTTCTCAGACCTAATTCCCGAACTCATATCCGGTACCAGGATTACAGAAAAGTGTTTGTCTCGTCAGAATGTCCACGAATAGCGAATGCTGCCCTTCTCCGGCGCAAATTGGTGGGGCCTAGTTCTGGCAAAGCCACTACTTAGCCCAGCCATGCCATCCTTTAAGCTGCTAGAGGCCGTTCTTACCACCTTCCCGCAACTTCTCCCTCATTTTCTCTCTTGCACCTCTGGCCGTAATTTTCTCGACATCCCTTTTTCGTGTCCCACTGATTCACGTTATCGGCACACGCTGTCCCGCGAAAAACGACATAGTACCTCTCCACCCCCGCCAGCGGGCCGCAAAGCGGCTGTATCCCATGCTGCATATAGTGCCCCTAATGACACACAAATCTTGCTGTTCTTGAAATTCGAGCCGGAAGGCTGTCGTTGGAGTTGTTTTGAATGGAGGTAATTGTCGGGCAGGATGGGCATTGGCGCGAGACGAGGAGCTGGGTGGCCGACCGTCTTAGGGGACTGAGATACATCACGCGCTGCGATGAAGATGGTTTTCGAACACGTTTCGAGGGGGCTCCACCGCTTTGCCTGTCGCTTTCTCTCTAAATCCATTTTCACCCCGCCAAATGACTCCCTTGAACTCGTCTTCCATTGCATTCATATCTAAACGACTCGACGACATTCTTTATCATGCTCCTCGGTAGTGACTATCCACCGTTCCTGCCGCACTCTCGTCCGCCCTCCTACTTTTGACTGGCGAAATGGCCCAGTTCTGGCAAAGCCACTGGTTAGTCTCCACCCAGCCATACCATCCGTTAAGCTACCAGAGGCCATCCTCACGACCTTTCCGCGGCTTCTCCTCATTTCCTCCCCCGCACTCGACCTCGGGACCTAATTTTTCTCCCCTTCTCTTTTCGTGTCCAAATCCACGTGATCGTCACCCGCCGTCCCGCGAAAAACGAGATGGTACCTCTTCACCCCCGCCACCAGGCTATAAGCCAGCTGTATCCCGTGCTGCAAAGGGTGTCTCCCACGCCACTCAATTCTTGCTGCCCTCGAATTCGCCCAGGAAGGCTCTCGTTGGAGCCGTTTTGGGTGGAGGCGCTCGTGGGGTAGAATGGGCACTGGCGCGAAACGAGGAGCTTGCTGGCGCACATGGACCGTCTCTAGTGACTCAAATACGACATGCGCTGCGCGGAGGAAGGTTTTGGAGGATATTTCAATTTTCGAGTGTTGGAGCAGAGTTATTATTTGGAGCGGCGGTAGTGCTGGGTAAGCTCCTTCACCTTATCCGCAAAGGTCATCGTGCTTAGTCCTTATCACAGCTACATATAATCGCTTGCAGCAAGGTCTACTATATATATGCCCGGCTCTGTCTCTCTCATACGATGCTGTTGATCATGGAACTTTCATTGCGCTATATTCTCGGTGGAGAATTGAGCGATCGCAGACTCGTAACTATCGTAGCAGTCGTGGCAAGCGCCGTAATCGTTACTGTTGTAGTCCATTATCCTGCCCTCCTTCCTCTGTATACCTCAGCCGAAATACATCACTGCAAGCGTCTTGTTTTGAGGCGGTATGTCAGTGAACATGCTGGCCAAGACTAAGAGTCGGATATACCGATTCATCCCCACCTCCCGGTCCGCCCGTGACGATGCTCTCGCTGTTGACATGCGCAAACATGCAGCTGTACGGTGCCGACTCCGGCGCCGGCCGCCGCAAGACCGCCGTGATCTGCACATACGCCAACTCCGAGCGCGTGGGCGGCTGGACGATCAGGTCGAACGTGCTGGGGGCTGTGACCGAGGTGGCGAGGAGCACGAGCCTGAGTACGGCGCTGCTCTCCGTGCGCAGCGTGCCGTCCGCCTGCGTCCCCGTGAGGATTCCGAGCCGGCTCCACATCGGCCTGTCCTCCTCCGATTGGTGGAGATGAGGGACAGGAGATCGTCAAACTCCACACATGTGAAGATGGCTTCGAGGACTTCGTTGGGCAGGCGGAGGAGAAATGACATGGCAGGCGCCGCAGAGGGACCGTCGGAGGGACGGGCTTTTTGACTGCGTTCAACCTATTGTGTTGTTGTCGTAAGAATACTTACCTCTCGCATTGGGGGTCGCAACAACTTGAACACGAAAGACGAGCAAGAATGCGACAAAAAATAGAGGGTTACGAGGACGACAATGAAGCTGGAGAAGCAACGCCAGAAGTTGCGTGTCCTCTGAACTATCAGATGAACAAAACAAAAAGAGGAGACACACTGAGCGACAAAGAACAGCAATGTGCTATGGGAGACAATTGCGGCGGGGGCAGGTATCGATACACACTCTTCCTCTTCGACGTGTGAAACAGCTGTCAGCTCATCCCCCGAACGCGGCGAACTCCACTCAGCGTTCGAGCCAGCTGAAGATCGCCCAAGCAGCTGTCGTATCGGGATACGTCAACGGATACGTGGGGAGCAGCTCCGAGCTCTGAGTCGCAAGCAAATACTGTTGTCGAAGATTTATGGGCCCATGGTGGGAAGATGAAAAAAGCAGTTCCGGATCACCGGGCAAGAAGGCCGATTTATTGTCATTGGCAACTCTCTATTGTACTTCGTTGCTAAAAGGACATGACATATTATCAGAACGGCGTGAGAGGCACAAAAGGAACAATGTGCCTAGTGGATTTACCGTTGTCTCCGCGAACAGCCCGTATAAGATGCCTATGCGATATTGTCTAGCTCTGTCGATCTTCGACTATTAGACGCAGAAATCTGGGTCCAGAGGCTTCCGCTTACATTCTGACCCCCCGGCTACCGTCTCCCCGATTCTGCTGGCGGTTTTTCCTTCGAAGGACTCGACGAGGCAGCTGGAGTTGCGCGAAGTTCATCGGGAGTATATGATGGAGGGGAAGAGCAAGCCTGCATAGACCGCAAAGCTCAAGCGAGATATGAAAAATTTCGTTGGTAGTCGAATCCCCCCCCTCGAAATCCATCCTTCCACCAGTGCCCCAAACCGGCTTGAAAACTGTCCTTCGTGCAGCAGTAGCTTCATGTCTCGTACGAGAAGTACTCCATAAGCCCGACAATCCACCAATTCGCGCCTGTGCAGGGCAGCATTCATGACTCGTGAGTAGTCTGACTAGACAAACGCTTTTCTGTAATCCTGGTACCAGATATGAGTTCGGTAATTAGGTCTGAGAAAAGAATAACACAACTCACCAAGTACTGCATCAGTTCAGGGCCCAAAAAACGAAGACCGTTCGCGTTAACGCACCAACCCCTCAAAACACCCACCAAAACCTGCTGTAATCCATCATTCAATGCCCCCAGTTGACCTGGGATAGGTTAAATTCCGCGTATATCTCTCCCTCGACTCCGAGAACCCATTCTGCCCATCGAGCACATCCAGACGAAAAGCGAGCCAACGAATGCTTTACTGGCCCAATTCGCGGGAAGCAGCAATTGATTATGACGGGGAAATACATCTCCAAGCGCCAAATCTGGTCCATAAGGCGCCAGCCGGTGTGGATGGAGAGACACAACATCGCCTTTTTCGCAAGGCCCTGTGACGATCACGTGCCGCTGTGACACCGCGAAGAAGACGTGAATATCGTGGTTGAATCGTATTCCGCAAGTCGATTGTGAGGAGGAGGCTCGGCAGTGCGTGTTGGGGTAATTATGGGAGTGTATTCCAGGAGCCGTTCACGAGTTATTTATCATGAACAGTGGGTTCCCGGGCAAGTTGTTTTGTGCAATCGTTCCCTATTGGAAGCAGGCGAAGCACATGGTATGAAGGATGAGTGGCCTAATATCGTAATGGGGGAGTGTGAAGTAAAACGAATTCGCGCAAGCTTGAGACGGTATGGTCGTGACATTGGGAGTGTCGCATGATTTCCGGTGGGAGTCGATGAAGGAGCAGCCCAGGTTACAGGAATAAAGCGTTGTATTTTTTTCGGGGAGGTGCCCACAGAGTAAGTACACCAGTGTGACGTCTGCGGAAAGGCGTGAGTGCAGGCAAAACAAACGAAGCGTAAAGCACTGAGCAGCCACTCACAAACTGCTTGCCCCACACCTTGGTCGCCTTATCCTGTTTCTTCTAGTGTCTCTTTTTCACACATTGCATTGTAGTCAACTGTAGGTTTCGTTGGGGGAGTTGCGTGCAAGGAGAGCCGTCGTTATCAGCTGAGGAGCGGTCAGAAGGGCGTAGGTTAATTGTCGCCAGGAAGGCCGCAGAAGTAGTTGGGGTTGCGTAGCGCTAGCTGTCGGGAGGGTCCCAGGCCGCGTCAAGTGTGTCGTATAGTTTGATGGCAGCGGGGGACTGCCCTTCGTTGCTGCAAAAGTTGGAGGAATGAAAGGTGAGGGGAGCTGAGCACACCGTTTTTGCGCAATCTAACCTCTCACCCTCCTCCGAATCCCTTGCCCCGTAATCCTCCGCACTCTAGACATTTCCTCCTTCGAGCCTCTGCGGTTGCCGTACCCAGGAGTACTCGGCGAATCCATGTCGTGGATTCGGGTGATGAGAGTGTAAGGCAAGATGGGAATGAGCATGACATCACTCCGATCAACCACCACCTGCTCGCTACGGCTTGTTTCTCCCCACCACTGCAGGATGCTTGACATCGTTGCTCGCTTGCGGCACAAGCCCTGGGACACCTTCACCGATCTCGGAAAACACATCTGGAGCGAGACTCAAGCGAATCATCCTACGCAGAACGCGTGGGACAAAAACTTGGACATAGTAGCATGGAACAACTACTACGAGCTGAAACGTCCGCACTGTGAGCGAGAGTAATCAGCGACTCAAAAATCACGACCATGACTGCATGGTCAAAATGACCACGTTGTCGAGGCTACGAACAGGTCTGTCACCGTGGAAAAGAGTATCTGTTGATACACAAACTGACCAGACACAAGCGGGGGAATTTTCGAGGATAACGGTGGATCAGCGGGGAAGAGGACATCGCGAAAGAGAAGAGAGATCAGGTGATGACTAATCCCTCTCGAAACTTGTTTCTTGAACGCGATGACACAACTGCTGGGCTATCTTTCTTCACTCTGGACTCTTCGCTATGCTACCTAACGGCCCAGTCACTCCCGTCGGTCCGCTGGATGGTCAGTTGACGATGGTTGCCGGTGTCGTCACCGGCTTCAAGTTTCGCCAGATATAACCCAGGCCTTCGTTTCACGCGCTCTCCATACTGCTTTCATGTCAGACCCGCCCATAGATGTCTTCATCTTGGCTATAATGGCTCTCTTTCGCGTTATTGCTCTCGCAAACGGACAGAATCTCGCAGCGTTTCCTGTACTCGTCAACGCGACATCGCTCTTAAATTTGGCCACGCTCCCGTTCTGCGGTTCACTGAATTCCAGCACGTTTGCTGAGCTCAATACGGGTATCGACCTCAATGCAATCCGGTACGTCGTGCCTGCTGCTCACGCTCAAACCGATACTTCGACAGCACTGTTGTTACCTTTGGAGATTCATGGACTTCGACGGGCTGTGTGCTCCAACGTTGAGCATTGGTCAACAGTCGCTGACCAAACGTCTTCTAGCAAATGGAACGATACCATTCCCGCCGATTCTCCACCCGCCATTGCCTTCTGCTGGTTCCCGGACCTCCCAGAATCGTCGAGCAAGCAACGGCTTCATGTGGAACGAGCGACTTGCTATGGACCTCAACGCAAAGCTGCTCGATGTGCGTCTTCTTATTTTTCCCCTGGATAGCCTCTCACCGTATATTCAGTATGCCTGGGGCGGTGCGGTCATCGACAATTTCGCGTATAATACGACAACACCGCTCAACAAGACAGCAGTTCAGCGCTCGGATTTCGTTTCGCAAACCAAGTTATTCTTCTTGCAAGGGAAGTTCTTGGATTTGTTGTCGCCCGCTTCAACGTTGTATTCGGTCGCCTTTGGTATCAAGTAAGTCCTCCTATTCTTTTCGAGCTCGTATGCTGAGCAGAGGCTTTGATAGCGATGATGGCCAGTACAAACTAGGTAAGATCATCTGGAATACCTTGTGTGCTAATCAACATTTCCTGTTCTCAGCGGGCGGGGATATCGATTTGGCCATTAACACCTATGTCCCTATTTCTCTTCCTTATTATCATTCAACTCATTGTGGGGCAGACAACGAAACTCGCAGAACTGCAAAGTAACGGGGCTCGAAACATCCTCATTCATGGCGTAGGTCTTATACCTGTCGTCATACTCCCCACTACAACCAATAATCAGATGTACACGTCCCATCCGGAGACGGACCTCCTCCAAGCCGCGATCTTCGACTACCTCCGCTCCGCACACAGCACGAACGGAACCGACTTCGCGTTTGTCGACCTGCATACCCTTTTCGCCGCTATCTCCACTGCGCCGGCGGACTTTGGGTACACGGGAAACGCAACGTGTTTGGTAAGCCCGAATACAATTGTCGGCGGATGCGTGGATCCAGAAAGGACTGTTTTCTATATTCGTAAGTTGTCCTCGTTTTCTGTTCAACCGATGTAGAAAACGGCTCACAAGTTCTCCTTTGCAGCGGGTCATCCGTCCATGCAGACGCACGGGTTGATAAACGACTATACCCAGCGCGTGCTGAACGGGGTGTGTGGTTGCGTAGGCGCTTCGTGCAGGAAGGAAAGTTTCATGGACCCGAACTTGGGAGCATCAGCATGTTGTGGCTTGAAACTCGATACTCCTTGTGTTGTTCTAGCGCCAAAATTTGCTCTCCATATGTCCGTCCTCATGTCGGCGGTCACATTCAAGTTCGCGCAGGCCTATATACTTCGTCTGGGTGTACCACACAGAAACGGGACGTGGTGGAAGCTTGACGTTGAAACTGTGTAGCTTGATACATGAGGCGGCAAGGGGGACGCTTATAATTATTATTCGACCAGATTCCTTGATGGCGGGCCGGACGAGCTCCAGCCAGGGTAAATACAGGATGCGCCTATTACTATTCTTTTTGTGCCTGAATGCAGCGCCACAATGGTGCCTTGACGGTCTAGACACGGAGTGAGCGAAAAAAACCCGCATAATTAAGGTTGTCGTTGTTGGATAGTGTCGTCGGCCGAGCGTCTTGCTTCCGAAATAATTTAGCAGCGCGTTGATAGAGTCGGATAGACAGGAGATAGGGAGGCCCTTCTCGCGCTTGACGGCGGAAAACAGGATGAGTTTGATGCGGAAATGTTCGGTGTGGGTGGTGTCTTGGACAGACTGGGGCGATAGCAGACTAATAAGTAAGGTCGACCTTTCGTCAGGATTGATTTGAAGCAGATCGCCTTGCCGATTGGTGGTCATGAAGGGGAAGGCCAGCGAGGGCTTGGCAAGACCGAAAAGAACCTCGCCACCATGCGACGGATGAAACTGCGTCATATCTTGATGCCAGGGACCGTCAGTTTTTACGTCGATGGCGAAAAGGACGATAGTTTGGAGAGCAAGAGCTAAAGCGGGCGGAATCGAGCGCTTGCCTAGATTTGGCGCCGATACCGCCCGCTTCTTCCAGTCCCAGGAATAGAACCCAGCACGCATGGGCGGAAAGGTCTGTGAAAAAAGTGAAGGGTGTCAATGATGTCATGATGAATGGTCACGAAGGTGACGATCACGCTGCCACCCACGCAGACTGAGAAAATCTACAAGGTGACCTTGCCCTTGTGCTCTCATCGTCATTGCTCGGTCGCGGGCGCTTTCTGCGTTCTGCCTCTCTTTCTCCCCCTCCGACAGCGGACGCAGCCGCATTACATCCCCTTCCCCTCCACGCGGCCGACTCGTGTCGCCGTAACCAGTACGTATTCGAAGCTCCCGCTGGCCAGGCCTTCTTCCTCACACTCACTACCGGCAGCTTTTCCGTTTTGCGACCCGTCGCCAGCGAGGTTGCTAGCGAGGACAACGACGACGACGAGACAGCGCCTTGGCACTTTCGGTCGATCGGTGCGTTGTCAAATTCCACCCATCGTCCCTTCCCTTCTGCCCCCGTCCTCATTTGTCCTTCTTAGGCTGTCTAGAACGTCCAACCCTTCCTTGCAAAGTGTTTTGCCAGTGTCAAGCCATCTTCCCGGCCTTCCGAACGTGTTTTTTCCTCCCCTCCATCTCCAGGTGTGTCCACCGGCACTTCCTTGTCCGGCAGGCTAACCTGTGTACAGCGACCTCTCCATTAGCCAGCGACTAGGTCAGCGCGTCAGAAATGCCGCTTCTAGGTGGTCTCTTCGCGCGAAACTCTAATGGAAGTGGCGCCACCAGCAAGTCCAAAAGCCCAAGCGACCTCTCTCCCTCCGCGTGCGTGTCGTGCCTTATTCTCTTCTTTCGCCCCCTCCCTGCCATGCTAATGCTTTGCTGCAGCTCATATTCCCACTCGGCAAGCATCAGCAGTGTCCAGCTCGGCAGCAACCTCTCCCCTCCACCATCTTCGCAGCCATCTCCAACAAGCGAATACGTCTCATTCGCCCCAGGCCCGTCGTCTCCCAACGGCAGAAGCTTGGCATATGCGGGCGAGCCCCAGAAAGACAAACGCGGGCTGGGCTTTTTTGGGCGAAAACGAAGCGCGACTCCTTTATTGGCTGTCGACACTGGCGAGCCCTTTGAGGGACCCCCGCGACCCGCCTATCTCGGACGACTGAGCACGTCGTCCGATATTCCGCCCTCCTCAGCTTCAGCATCAACCTCCCCTAACTCCCTCCGCCCACCTCAAAACCTCTACACATCTTCTACCCGAAGCCTTCCCCCTCCAGTAACCACTGCTGGCGCCTCTCCTTACGCCCATCAAACGCCCTCCCGAACGCGTGATCGAGACCGCCAGTATTCTCTATCGCCTCTTGCTCCCCAAATCAGCCCGACAAGAAGTACTGCTTCTGGTCTCACAGCCGCGTCAGGGAAGACGAGCAAAACGAGCAAGAGTACGGGCGCGAAAAGCGGCCGCAAGTTTGCGTTCTGGGCGAGGGGGAAGGACAAGGACGTCGAGCCATTACCACCCTCACCCGCCAAACCCTCCGACTTCAATCTTCGAGCCTTCCGACATGTCCGCGAGGAGCCTGTAGGGAAGAATCAGCTTACGGCGACGAATCTGACAAGCTTGAGTCAGCAGATCGAGCGAGAAGGACAGGCTAGCGGGCTGGGGAGTGCTTATGAGCACGAGCATCTACCTCCTGCCCGACCGCGACCGCGGGGAGGCAGCGATGCCAGTGCGAGTAGCTCGCGCATTAGCGTTGCGGCCTTCCGAGAGGTTCAGGCGAGGAGAAGCGCTGCTGGGAGTCCTGTTATGGGCGAGAGTAGTGCGAGAGCGCCAAGTCCGGGTCCATATGGTCGACAGCCGCAATCAACACAACGACCTACGCCGACTCCCGTCCAAAAGGCCGCCAAGAAGACGTCTTCTCCACCGGTCCCTTCCCCAACGACGAAGCCGAAGCCGTATACGACTGTTCATCAAAGGGCGCCAAATGCGCAGGTGAATCAGTGGGATTCAGATGAAGATGAGGAGGAATCATCTCCAGGCGACTCCAGCGACGACCCGCGTAAACCACAGCCTTCGCGGCAGCAACAGCAGCAACAGCGCGGGCTTGGACAAGCCAGATCGCAGTCTTCGTTGGGTGTTTATGGGCAGAGTGGGAACACGGAAAAGAAGATGGGTGGGAGTACCGGAAACCTCGTGGCCAGCGCGAGTGGTGGCAATGTGACTTGTGCGTGGTCTCTCTCCTTGTACTTTTTCGCGGTTTGCTGACTTCGAGTCTTTTCACCTCTTCCACTTCTACTCTCGGCATTCGACTTGGTCTGCGACTCCCCTACTCTATATCACATTTTGAATTCGACATTACCTCCTCCGCATATCCCTTTCCCTTGATATTTTCTCCCATTTTCTCCACATACTCTATATCGCGCCTTCGCCTTTAACCTGCTTTTCGACTTTCCTTCTGTTTTCTTGCCGTCTCCTGACTCTGTTTCTCACAATACGTTGCCTTCACCTCTCTACTTTACTCATCGCCACCTCCATCGCGTTTTTGCACTGGACTTTCTTTTTCGTACTCCGTTCACCTTCCATATCACACTTCTTGGGACTTTTATTGTCGACATCTACCATCACGTTTCGATATTGCCCAACCACCATTAACGGACACCCATACCGTCGCCATCTGGCACAAATCTCGATGCTTCTGCCTTCCTTTGGATTCTGCCGAATAGCCAAGCGGCTTTCGCTCACGCAAGAGCCGAGTCTTCCCGGGCAACGACCACCTCGCGGCCAACCTCCACCTTCCATGGCCAATAGCCGCTCAACGCAAAACATGCGCGGACAAACACTTCCTACGCCCGCCTCCCCTCCTTCCACCAAACCAGCACCTCCACTCAAAGCAACCTCCGTTCCTAATCCTTCCCCACACACCCGTCGGCCGACAAATCCTGACGATTCTGACTCAGACGAATCCACAAGTGAAGAGTCTTCCGACGACGACGCGCCTTTGGCGACCCTTGTTGCGCCGCGCCGCCCTGGCTCGTCATTGTCGATGGCCTCAAACGGGAGCAACCCCAACCTGAAGCCAAAACCTCTAATCGATATAAACGAGATAACCGGCTCGCGGCCGGTCCTCGCCGGCCAGAAGAAGACGGACGACGGGTTTACTGGTGCGGGTATGCTCGCTGTGAGCTCGAAAGCCAGCTCGAGTTCACAACTCCCGAGCCCGGTGTTAACCAGCAGGTCGCCGCCGCCACCGAGCAGCGGAAGGGGTGGATTTGTGCAGTTCCCTAGCCCGCCGGGGTCGCCGGTTCGGGAGACACCGCCGCCGGTAACTGTCAAGGCCGTCGCTGCGCCGAGACGGAGCCCGATTAGGAAGGAGACCGGCGGGTCTGTGGCGAGTGTCAGCTTGGGTGGGCAGGACAAACGGGAGGGGCTGGCGGACCGGTTGAAGGCTGTTTCCGCCACGAGTGCTTCAGGATCGACTTCACAGTCGTCGTTGGCGAGCACGAGTACAAGACCGACACTTTCGCCGCCCAATGCGGGCTCGCCGCCGAGTTCGTTCTCGAGTATGACCGCGAGGAAGGCTTTCCATCGGCGCTCGTCGAGCGATATCGTGTCTGCTTCGGGCCGCTCTCCGAATTGGCTGGACGATGCGGGGAGTAAGAGTGCGGAACCCGACGATGCTTTGGGGCGGGACTTGGCTGATATGCTTGGTGGCGGGGGGCTGGCGTTCTTGCTGGGCGAGGAGACTGCGCCGCCGTCGCAGTCAGTCAAGAATGTGGCGGAGAAGGACAGGGAGCATGAAGGCGACATTGTGCCGATTGTGATCAAGCAAAGGTCGCCTTTGCCGGGCTTCAGCGTTACGAGCAGGCCAGCCAACCGCTCGGTGGATTTGGGGTCTGCGTCTGCAACGGGAGGAAGGCAGAGGAGCAGCACTTTGATTCCCTCGACTTCGACTTCTGCGACTGCTTCTTCGACAGCCAACTCGACAAATACTTTGACTTCGAGCAGCTCGACAAACGCGTTACCAAAGTCTACTCCAGCTGGGAACGCGAGGCAACGGAGCAGCACGCTTATGACCACGCCCGCGACGACCTCAAATCCCCGTTCCGCCCCTCCGACTTCTACTTCCTTCCCTCGCCAAACCCCCTCCCAACCAATCCCTTCTTCACGATCATCACCACCTATCATTGCACAACCGACTCCTTCACCCTCACCACCCTCCCTGCTTGGCCGACCACCACAACGGCCTTTTGCGGGCAACGGCGGTATACGCGGCAACTCACCCGCAAGCTCGACAGGCACAAACGGCACGGGCAACTCGAGCAGAAGCAGCGGCGCCCTTGGCCCGCTTACACCGAGAGACGGGAGCGAGGTTGGTAGCGCGATGAGCAGCGGGAACAGCGGGAGCGGGAGCGCGCCATATACCGCCCGGGGGACAAGAACGAACCAGAAGGAGGAGAAAGTGAGGGACGACTGGAGCGGGGGCGCGAGCGGGCTGTTGCCGGCGCATGTGCAGAAGGCGAAGCAAAGGAGGAGCGTCAGCTTTGACTTTGACGAGAGCAATGTTGTCGTGCTGAATGACGAGGAGCGGAGGAAGGAGAGGAGAAGAAGCGAGGCGAAAGCTGCGATTGAGGTGTGTCTGAAGTCAATCTTTTTTCAATTTCTGTGTGGCTGATTTCGGATAGCTGGGGAATATCGTTAATGGCCCCGGGCCTGTGCCGGACGACGACGAAGAGGACGACTTGCCGATTAACCAGATCCGCAACGCCAACCCGATGATGCAGCAAATGCAGATGCCGATGGGAATGCAAATGCAAATGCCCATGGGAGGCTGGCCGCAAATGCAGATGCCCATGCAAATGCCTATGCAAATGCCTATGCAAATGCAGATGCCAATGCAGGTCCCCATGATGCCCAACGCCGGCCAGTTCATGATGCCCCCGCCGTCCGACCCGAGCATGATGGCGGCCCACCAACAAGCGATGCTATATGCGAAGCAGGCGTACCAAATGGCGGTTGCGCAACAGGCCATGGCGGCCGCGGGCGAGGAGTGGGAGCGCGGGTCGACTATGACGGGGATGCGGGGCAGCGTTTATGCGGGCAGCCAAATCGGGGGTGCTGGTGGGGGCGGAGCTGGTGGAGGAGGAGGCGGACTGTCTCCGTTTGGCATGGGCCTGGCGATGCTCAACGCACAGAACGGGCAGGGCCAGATGTTCCCCTCTGGCGCGAGAAGTCTCGTGGGCGGCGGGGCAAGGAGCGACTATGGCGGGATGGGTGGTGGCGGGGGCGGTAACTGGAACTCGTCGCGGAGCGTTTATGGAGAAGCTTTCGGGCCGTCGACGGAGCGGTATCAGCAGACCCCGACGTCGTCAAGGTCGATGAGCAGCGGGAATCTCGCGGGGATGGCGAAGACGCCGGGTCAGTCGCAGTCGCCGGCCGGCGCGGGCCGGGAGTCGGGCTACTTCGCCGGCGCGTTACCGGCGTCGAATTCGCGGCCGGGCCTGAGCGCGGCGAGGCAACGGACAGCGAGCAGCCCGTCGAAACCTGGCGGGGCTGTGGGCGGACAACGGAGAGGGGGCCCGCCGTCAAGCTGGCGCGCGGGAATGTGAAGACACCCACTACGACTATTACTCTGGACGGAATAACCAAAAAAACGTGTGTATACTATATAGCTATCGGCCCGGAACGCTCTCTCTTTCTAGTAGTATTTCTCTCTTTTTTTATTATGCCTACGTTACCCTTTCTACTTTTACTCTACTCCGTTCTCAGCTCATCTCATTTCATTATCGCACACATCCACACAGACAACAGACAACAGACATACACACATCATGATACCTGCTCGCTATCTACTACGCAATACAAGCTAGAAATGAAGAAGGAATAAGAAAAGCTACTGTCGTGTAGACTACCGCTGAGACTGAGCTGTCGAGGGAGAACTACAAGTTGAACGCGGGTAAAAAGGGAATCCACCTGTACTTCTTTATTACTGACCCGCTCTCGAGACGATCGAGAGGCTGCCAACCGAATATGGAAAGATGTCCGCCAGCCCAAGGAGAGGCGGGCTTCTGAGAAGGCTTGAGCTAGCAAGTAAGTATACATGTGCTCGGCTCTCACTGGCAAAGGCACCACAATTTGATCAAGTTCGACTGAGTCAACAAGTGGCTGCATAACGTCAAAAAATCTCATCGAGAGAGAGTATAAACAAGATATAATGTTGCGTTTCTGACCTCACTGGTATTTCATGTGCTCGTCGTTCAAGTTCCTTGCTGCGGTACGATTGTTGCAAGGTCGCTGCATTCGGCCTTAAATCCCTCGATCGAACTAACATTGAGCAGGCGACTTCACAAGCATGTCCCAAACGAGCAAAGCACACACCGCGTCAATCCCCTGCCCACGACGGTAAGCAACATGTCATAATAATTTCCATTGATAATGTTGCACAACTTGCACCAGGCACAGAGAGACGGCCTCGAGATCCCGTTCGAGAATCGACACCGTGATAGCGCAGTTCGTCCGGGAGTATCAGATCGCGCCGTGGCTGGGATGGGAGCAAGTTGCGGAGGCAGCGCGGAACTTCCCTCCCACGGCGGAGGAGGAGCAAATCGAAGAGCAGAAGTACCAATTTGAGCGAATACTACGGGTTTTGAATCTCACATAACTGGACGGTTGATAGGAATGAGTCACATTCGATACTGTGATAATATTAGCGTGTTCACAATGTACATCTTGTGGAATACTTTCATCTGGGCCACCATAAATTGGCGATTCACCGCATCTGGCGCTTCTTTTGGCGCTGCATCACCGCATAATTCCCGCACTTGGCGCTGCATTACGGCATATTGGCGCACCCATCAGATTGATGTCAAGTACTTCTTGTTTCCACTCCACCATCACTAGCACGATCCACGCGGTTGAAAGCGAGGCGAAAGCAGGCCCCCTTGCTGTTCACACTTCCGCGCCGCCCCACTTCGCAGATAGAAGCAGTTCTGTCTCAGTTCCCGCCCAGTGCAGGGCACGCAATCGCGCCGCATTGTTTTCGACGTCACTACGCCAACTTGAACATCCAAACTTCGCTCCAACCTGCAGTGCTGTCTGGGCTCCTATCCTCAACAAGAGTCGCAACCACCACCTGATGTCGGTGGCCCGTCGCTCGACCTCGCCGCCGGCCGCCAACGCCGTCAGGAACGCCACGAAGCGACCGTAAGGAATCCGGGCGCCATGCTGGCCCTAGCGGAATCTGCTCTGCAGTTCAATCCACGGATCGCGCAAGCATCCGCTGCATCAATACCTCCACATCTAGCGGCACACAGTCGGACTCCATACCGACATCCCACCTTGTCCGAGTCGTCGTTGGCGAACTCGAAGGGCAGCGGCGTCACTCACATGCACACACCACTGGTAGAGTAACGAGGTGCGTGTGTGCTCCTTGTGGAGGCTATGTGGGCTGAAATTGTAGTGTGCCAATCGTTGCACGCGCCATTGGTGGTCGGAGGCGGACCGCCGCGCCGCTTGCCGATTAAAATGGCGGCATGTAGTATGTGTGTGTGTTGTGGTTGCTCAGAGCTGACTTGTTAGTCTAGGTTTCCGTTGCCGCCCCAACTTGAACCCCGCCCGCCATCTGCGCTGCCTTTATGTGTCGTCGAAGGCAGTCCATGCGCGTCGCAGATGATTTCCCAGGCTTTCGGCACCGTTGGACTCGACTTGAAGAGCGACAACGTACTGATGGTGCGTGGCAGTCGTCGTGTATGCTCAGTTGCTCACCGTCCGCCAGTAGGATCACAAGTGGGGGGGCCATTGCTTCGCTGTTTGTGCGATGACGCGATGACTGGCCAAGTGGTCACGGTGGGCCTTTGCCGTTACCCGTTTTGCCGCATCCCACCCTTGTAGCTCCAGTCGCACATTGACAGTGCGTCTCGGCAATCTGGTGGGTGCGGGAGCTAGCCGGTGAGTCAGCACCTTGCCAATCGCCAACGACGTCGATGGCTGACTGGGTTCCGCAGAGGTTTCTCGAGAAGCCCCTATCGTCTTGCAAGAGGGTGGCCGTCTTATAAGACGGGCTCCAGGTTCGCCCGCCTCCAACGTGTGTATGTGCTTGTTGTGGTTGCTCACAGGGGTGTCCGCTGACTCGTTTTTCTAGTCGTTCGTTGCTGTTACGTGCGTACAGTCTAGTATTCAGGTGCTACTGGCAATGGTGAGTCTCGGTTTCTGTTTGTGCTTGGTGCATTCTCACCGTTTAGCCGTATGCGGACGCTGAAAGCGTGCGAGCATAGCGGCCGCTTTCAACGTCAAGCGCCAGTTACATTCTGCAACGAACTACTGGTACTGGCAGTCTGGGTGGCGCGGCACTGCTCCAGGACGCGTGGAGGTGGGATGGACATTCGGGAGTTTGCAGGGACTGGACCGGCACGCGCCGGGGCATTCCAGTACCCCAGGTCCGAGGATGTGATAGCGTGAGCTGTCGTTGGGCCGCTTTTAGACAAATGACTGTTAATGAGCATGATACTGCTCGTGGGATCTGGATCCGGGCTGCTGCCTCGAAGGCTCCTCGCATGAAGTTAGAAGTCGGGGTATCTACCAAAAAATTTCACAATAGTATCCACTGTCAGTGATCACTTGCAGTATTCACGTTCCAGTAAAGCCAAGTTAGCGCCGCGCACCGCCAGAATGTTGGCGCTGCGCCATGGAATGTTGGCGCAGCAACATTTAATACTGGCGCTGCAGCCACGTTATTTTGGCGCTGCAGTTCCGTCGCACTGGTGCTGCTGTGACGCTACATTGGCGCTGCACGTCACGCACTTGACGCTGCATGTTACACATTTGGCATTGCAGGGTGACATGTAAGTCACACTTTGGCGCTGCAGCGTGACAATGTATGAAGTCCAAAAAAATTAGGGTTGGAATAAATAAGCTCCCAAGATCCCTACTGTACCCATACATATAGCCCATTTGAATTTCCACTTAAATTTTCAGCCCTTTGCACAGAAAATAAAATCTAAGTCAACTCCAAACACCGGGTATTGACTGATTATGAGAAGATTTTCTACCAAATTCTCAATAAAACAGCTTATATCACTAGCACTCATGTATATATTCATCTCCGGCGCTTCCATAAGGCAAAATAACACCAATCTCAAGAGCTGTCCAGTAGTTTCTGTTCTATCATTTAGACTATCAATTCATATTGATGTGTGTGAACACCAATGTGTCACGACTTTGGCGCTTCAGATGTCACAGCATGGCGCTTCCAGCGTGACAAATTGGCGCTTCCAGCGGTGAAGCGCTAATTTCTGGTGGCCCCTTTCATCTCCCTGTGAATTTGAGGCTATCCGGTGATATATACTATACTCCTTGTCGCGATAACCGTTCAGCTCAGGATTAGCGGAGAAGAAGAGGTCCTCGACTCATGTCAGCGTTACGGTCAACGCGCGGAGTCAAGACAGGAACACACACCAGAGGAGACTGGATTTACTATATGCATTGAGCACCGATATCATTTCTGGGCAATGAGCCCTGCTTTATTTCCTTGGCCATCAGTTCCAGCGCGGACCAAGAGTTGAAAATCGCAAGTGCGAAAGTCTCTTTTGACGACTCCAGGAGCAGCAAGTATGGTTTTCGGCATTCAAGAATTTTGAATCGTCAACTAGTAGAAGTTTGAGTTGCTGATTAGTTTCGCTCTCCGAATGCTCGCGGCCTTTATTAAGATGTCATTGCATGTCGCTGTGGCACTTGGGGCATGGGTTGTCCGTCCCGGTAGGGGTGGTAGTTGAGAGCACCAGCTCATCTTAGTTGTTCCAAGTACGTTTAAGTTTTGTCAGGTTTCCAGATGTGTTTTTCGAGATCGTTGAAGGCGTCCTAGGGCTTGTGCCGCAGGCGAGCAACGATTTCAGCCATCCTGCAGTGATGGAGTGAAACAAGCAGTCGCGGGCAGGTGATGAGAATGTAAGAGAACGATACAGAATGGGGCATCAAACGCCGTGGAATGGCATCAGACGGCGTTTGATGGGGTGGTTTGATTTGGAGACGAAAGAAGGGATGGCGGAGTGTAAGGGAAGTTGTGGGGTTTGTAAAAAAAGAGTTCAAATGATTGGGAAAAACCATATAAGGTTTTTCTGACAAACTGCTATGTAGCTTCATGTCTAAAAATAAGAACATGCTCCTTATGAAATGGAAAACCACACAAGGTTTTCCCGTCACATGGACGAAAAACTATCTAAACTTTTTTTTTACTTGTATGGTGTCATGGTATTTGTATCAGGTCTTTTTTTTCACTCACAAAAGCCACTTAGGTAGGTGTGAGTCCAAGTAAATGAGAAGACACAGAACAGGCAACAGAATAAATTAACCACTTACCCTACAGTCAGGGGCACAAGAGGGCGGAAGCTGGCGGGAGAGACTACTTTGGCATTTTCAGAGCTTTATTAAGCTTGTAGAAAAGAAAACCCCTCTATGGTTTTCTAGGTTTTTTCTAGAGTCTAAGTTCTAGAGCTCTAGTGAAAAACCCTTCCATGGTCTTGCAGGTTTTAATTCAGGACTTCAAATTAAGCTTCAAAGCTCTGAGTGAAAAAAACCCTTTTATGGTTATCTAGGTTTTGTAATTTTTCAATAC